GTTTCTGAGATATGACTCGGACAAAATATTTCTGAAAAAAGCGGAAATCGGACATAACTGACGACCGGAGGTGAATTTTGAAAAAAATGAAAGATACATTTGTAGGTAATTCTTTTCTCTATTATCCCTGAAAATTTCAAGAAAATCCGTCCAGCTATCTCTGAGAAATCGTGAAAACAAGAAAGGGAAAAAAATAATAATAATAAAAAGAAAAAGAAGAAACAGTAGAATCACTATAAGGTCTTCCGTCTGAAATGGAAGACCTTAATAAGAGAATGGCGTGTAAGGTTCACGTCAAAACATGGCTGACGCAAAACAATTCCTGAATTTTCCCCTTCAATTCGAGCATTTCTGCATTGGACAGGGCTGATGGTTGTTTATGAGATGATAAAGTATGTGTAAACTTTCTTAGTTTAGCGGAATCATGAACATTTTCGGCGTGATGAATAATTTGTTTACAGTAGTGATGAGGCTTTCGCGCACCTGCAGGAGCGGATCCAAGGATTTACGAATTTAATAAAAACAATGGAAATGAAGTTCTAATACTTATATATATTATTTAATGAAACTATTAATATGCAAGTAATAGATATACAAGAAAATGCTAAGGAATGCAGCTGACAATCGCTACTTTCTAAAGATAAATTAATTCTAAATAAAATAATTATAAATTCTTTAGACGAATCAGAAGAAAAATGAATGGTAGCAAAATATCAAATCACATCAGGGGAACTGAATTTTATTAATGACACTCTTAAGAAGTTCCTTATAAGTTGTATATATTATATCTGCCTATTCCACCTCGCTGCTTCGAGTGGTGTGTGGGGGAGGGGGGGGGGGATGTCTTGAACATAAACATGTAAATTACCATTATTTTGTAGAAAGAATTAAGCCTTATCATTTTGAAAACTTCAAGAAGAGTTGCTTGTGATATGAAGGTCAAGGTCATTTTATTTATAATCCAAAACATAAAAGCGACATTTGCATTCATTACAATAAAAGAGAGGGGGGGGGGGGGGGGGGGGGGTCTGTAAAGATGACAACGTCTTCTACAGTTGACAAAATAAAAGAATGGTGAATAAAATGTGCACACATGATATATATCATACTCAACCATTTTTATTTAATATAAACTTGTTTATATGGCAACAGGAAGATTTTTCTGGCCTATCTCAATCACCAGAGAAGTGTTACCTCTACACTTCATCCTAAGTGAATGAGCTCGGAGCAGTCCCCGTAAACTATATATACGACAAAAAAATCAATATTTTGTAGTGTTTAAGAAACGTTGGTCCTACGTTTTCAGAAATTCTAAGATATTTAAAGATATTTAATTCCTTCTTAATCAAATCAAGAAACTGGCAATACGTAAAATCTTCAAAGAGGGGCCTTTACATACCCTGTGAATATTACAGAAAAAAGAAGTTAGAAAGACGAAGAAATTGAAAAAATCGACTTTGAAATCCACTTTCTGTGACGACCGGAAGTATTGACGACGGAAAAAATGTTCATGGTGACATCTATAAGTCATTATCTATGATATTTGACAGAGTTAACTTTCATATCTTAAGCTGTTCTGGAGAAATGGAGCGGACAAAGTTCTTTACAAAATTTCCTCTATCAATAATATTAAGAATACTAGAAACTCATTACTAGTAATGAGAAGGTCTTCCGTTATACTACTTCCTGTTTGCATCAACATGTCTTTTCCAACGTCGGTATTAGCCTAAAACTTATGTAAAAACAAAATAAGTTAAAAAATACTTTTTTGCTTCGTTTCCTGTCACGATCGGAAGTAATGACGACACACGATTTTTACACGAAGCAAATGAACTGATGACTGACTATAAGTCCTCAAAGTTTTAGACTTCAGTCTTTTACTGTTGCCGAACAATTGTGAGAACAAATTCTAATTTTGAAGACAGGAAAACACGCGACCAGAAGTGAAGAGAATAAAAATTTTCTCTTGACTTTTGCAGTATCTACAACATATGTAAAAAACATTTCAAATACTTATCTATAAGTGATATTTATGAGAAAGTTAAACCACGAAATAACGTAGTTTATCTCTTAAAACCGGAAGTTTAAAGTTTTTTTTCCCGGTGGAATCTAACATATTTCAAAACAGCGAAAGGGAAGCAATAAAGTGATGAAAGTTTTAGTTTTAAAAAAGAAAAGTTGAAATTTTTGTTTTCTTCGATCACTTCCTGTGATCACCGGAAGTGACGACTGACGCTTTTAACCCTATGTGGTTTGCCTTCTCACCAAGTTGTATTACTCCTATAAGTTTGGTGTCTTACTTTCATGCCGTTTCCGAGATCTCGCTGAAATAACTTTTCATTTTGAGGACAAGAAAACACGCGACCGGAAGTGAATTTTACTAAAATATTTCATATCACTCTAGACATCTGCAGTCTCAATAACATATATAAAAATCATTTAAAGAACTCTATCTATAGGCGATATGTATCGGAAAATTAAATACCCTACTATGTAGTTTTTCTCTTATAACCGGAAGTTGTCGTTTTTTGTTTCCAGTGGGACCAACACATATCGTAACTGTGAAAAAGATACAATTATATGATGCAAGTCTTATTCCAAAAGAGAAAAGTTGAAATTTTTGATTTCTTTGATCACTTCCTGTGACAACCGGAAGTGACGACTAATGCTTTTAACCCAAATGGTTTTGTCTACTTCTCAAGGTCTAATACTCCTATAAGTTTGGTGTCTAAATCTCTTCCTGTTTCTGAGATATCACTCGGACAAGTTCTCATTTTGCGGACATTTAAACGCGCGACCGGAAGTGAATTTTACAAAGATATTTAACGTCACTCTAGACATTTGCAGTCTTGATAAAATATTCAAAAATCAGTTCAAATACATTGTCTATAAAAAATATTTATGGGAAAGTAAAATACTCAAATTATGCAGTTTTTCGCTTATAGCCGGAAGTTGACGTTTTTGTTTCCGGTGGGACCAACATATTTCGAAACTACAAATGAGATGCAATAATGTGATGCAAAAAAATATTCAAAAAAGAAAAGATGAAATTTTCGATTTCTTTGATCACTTCCTGTGACGACTGGAAGTGACGACTGATGATCTTAACCCAAATGGATTTGCTTACTCCTCAAGATCTATTACTCATGTAAGTTTGGTGTCTTAATATCTTACCGTTTCTGAGATATGACTCGGACAAAATATTTCTGAAAAAAACGGAAATCGGACATATCTGACGACCGGAAGTGAATTTTGAAAAAAATGAAAGATGCATTTGTAGGTATTTTCATTCTCTATTATCCCTGAAAATTTCAAGAAAATCCATCCAGCCATCTCCGAGAAATCGTCCGAAAAGAAAAGGGGAAAAAAATAATAATAATAATAATAAAAAGAAAAAGAAGAAACAGTAGAATCACTATAAGGTCTTCCGTCTGAAACGGAAGACCTTAAAAAGAAAAAGAAGAAACAGTAGAATCACTATAAGGTCTTCCGTCTGAAACGGAAGACCTTAATAATAAGAAACAATAGAATCACTATAAGGTCTTCCGTGGAGACGGAAAACCTTAATAAGAAGAAACAGTAGAATCACTATAGGTCTTCCGTTGAAAACGGAAGACCTAATAAGAAACAGTAGAATCACTATAGGTCTTCCGTTGAAAACGGAAGACCTAATAAAATTCAAACTTGCCCCCAGCACTCTATATATACAATGTGATACGATTAATTTATTCATATAACAAAAAGTACACAATAATTTTGTTAATCACTTGTGCCAATGTAATTTGTGTGCAAGATTTTGGAAATATTATGTGACCGTCACGTGATCACCGAAGTCATGTGACATCACAAAAATATGTTATTTTGATACCTTATAAACTATCTTGGAAAATTGGCTTATATACATGAATTTCAAATTGAAATCACAACACAGACCAAATAAAACAGTTTGTTTTTAGTGCATTTTAAGCCTTTGGACCTGCAAAAGCATCCTTGGGTGAAGGGGGGTTAAATTATTAAAATAAAGGACCAAGCCCCCTTCCAAGGGGAGATAATCAAGAAAAAAAATAGGATGGGGTCATTAAAAAATCTTCTTCTCAAGAACCAATTGGCCAGAAAAGCTGAAACTTATGTGGAAGCATCCTGGGGTACTGAAGAATCTAGATTGTTCAAATCATGACCCCTGGGGTTAGGGCAAGGCTACAATGAGGATTTCAATTTTTACATTGAGATGTATAGGAAAAATCTTTAAAAAATCTTCCTCTCAAGAACCACTGGGCCAGAAAAGCTGAAACTTATGTGGAAGCAGCCTGGGGTAGTGTAGATTCTAATTTGTTCAAATCATGGCCCCTGGGGGTAGGGTGAGGTCACATTAAGGAATCTAAGTTTTACATTAAAATATATAGGAAAAATCTTTAAAAATCTTCTTCTCAAGAACCACTGGGCCAGAAAAGCTGAAACTTAAGTGAAAGCATCCTGGGGTAGTGTAGATTCTAAATTCAATTCATGACCCCTGGGGGTAGGACAGGGTCACAATAGGTATTACATGGGAGGAAATCAGGTGAAGAACAGCAGGGCCAAATTTACTCAGGTGAGCATTATGGCCCATGGGCCTCTTGTTCTTTAAGTCAGGGGACACAAATTCTCTGAATTAGCTTGTTAATTTATTTTTTAATGTCAAAGGTTTGCTAAATGTTTTTATTTTAGATAAAATTTATAATGACAATCATTTCTTTTGACTTAGAAACAGTATTAAAGATAAAATGTGAGAGGAATTTGTTCTTTCTGATGCCCTTATTATTCTGTTTCTCGTTATGCATTGTATGTATCAAGAAGACTTGAACCATGCCAGATCATAAATATGCAGCACTGTTTTGTTTTTTTTTGTTTGTTTGTTTGTTTTGTTTTTTGTTTCATTATATGAACTTTGAATATCAAATAATTTGATAATGAAGCACATAGATTGTAATAAAATTAGTATAATTTTGATTTTTTTTTTTCAGAGTTTGATTCCTTCTTGAATGATAGAGCCCAAGCTGCTGACACCCTCCCCAGCATAACAGCCGCTACAGGTCAAAGGTCACGGAAGCTACAAAAAGATGACGAAGAGAATCCCTTGTTTGCTTTATAAATTATGAACCCTGTGTGAAAGTGTATGAAAGAATGTATGAAAACTGATCTAATTATAGTAACATGATAATTGTTTACAGTATCACATGATCACAACATGGTCAGTCATAGTATGCCAAACTGTGGAAAACTGGTCATCAATACTTTGTTAGATCCTGTAAATCAGAGAAAAATTTCTTGCTACCTTTTTTCCTAGCTGTAAGTATTGTTTTGTACATTATTTATTCATTTACCTACCTACATTCAAATTTGTACTTGGAATAAAAATTTTAGAAGATATATATATATATGCAATTATTTGATAAGACATTTATGAATGATTTCATGTGTAAAAAGAATTGCATGAATTTTTCCATTGTGAGGCTTATTGCCTTGTTTTTACTACAAATGATAATTATAGAAGCAATTATTAAACTGTAAAAATCTATTGAGTGGCATAATGTTTTGTAATGATTTGCTCTAATACAGTTGAACTTTGTTGTCTTGAACTTTGATTTTTTTGAATACACTAGATAAGTTGAATTTTGTTGTATTGAACATTAATTTTCTGAATATCCAAATATGTTGAAGTGAGTCAGCATTCCTGGTTGAATCATGAATCCACTTGTCAACATCATTATCTTGAACCATCAGATATCTTGAAGTCAGACAATCCTGCTATGTTGGAAATATAAGGGTTGACTGTATTTCATTCAGTTTTAAGAATGGCTTAATGCAAAAGCATACAAAAGGTTTTTCAGTGTTTAAAAAGAATATAGCAAATGTTTTTTCTAAAAAAAAAAAGGGGGGGGTCATAATAATGTCATTCAAATGTATTACATGTACTATGACGTAAACACAAGCTGCAAATATTGATATGTACAGGCTTGATATATACAAATTTTGTTAGTTTTAGGCTTAATATATATATATATATATATATAATTTGCCATTAAAATCTTGTAGAGGGTCCAAATTTCAAGGAACTGCAAGTTTTTATGATATCATTGTAAGAAGCATTTTTATAAAGGCATGGGACTTTATGTTTAGTACAAATAATGATTTATCTTATCTTTTTTTTTTTTCTTTTTTTTTTTTTTCTTTTTTTTTTTTTTTGTTAAAAGACCTTGGTCACTGTGATTATTTCATAGATTTGTTGGAAAATGTAAGGGATGCTCTTAGAGGATTGAATGTTATTACTGGCTGTGCAGTTTTTGATTAAGAAATCAATAGTGGAGAAATACATGTGTATTGACCTAACAGAACCCACCCACATAATAAGAATGATACAAGAGTTGGCTGTAATCAGCAGAATTAATCAAGATGGGTTCAGATTTTAATTTTAGTTTCAAGAAAATATACCACCACAAAAATGAAAATCATGGAGCTTAGTAGTGGCTGAGACTCTGTTAAAATCTGAATTCATTGTGTAATGAATATTCACCTGTTTTTATCTGATAGAAAGTTGTTAACTAAACACTACATTGTTTTTACATTGAAAGTCATTGTATAATAAGCTTTAAAGTTACTTCTAAAGAACATATATGTATTGATTATTCTGTCAACAAGTTCAATGAACTCATATATTCAAGAACAATTAGCCTGCTTTGAATTGTGTAGAACTTTTGAACTGATTTAATAATGAGTAAAACAAATTGAGCCATTTATTTTTTGAATATATTTTGGGTTAAAAATCTTTTTAATTTGGATTGATTTAGACTAAAAACTCTGAATGTTTACTTCAAAGCTTTTTTGTTCCTTTCTATTTAAAGAGATCTATACAGTGTTAATCTGAAGTTACTCATGATGACACTGATTAATCATCACTTTGGGATAAAAACATCCTATAAACTAAACTATAAGCACCTAAGTGCATTGTCATTTGATATGGTTTTCTATAATTTGTCCTGGATGTACTATATATTTATCTCATGGCAAACAGAATAAATGTAAAAGAAATTGTGTAGTAATCTGTATCCATTTGAGTGTTCAACACACTTGTCTATTTAACATGATGTTGAAAAATAAAAAAAATATTGTTATACCTTTTTTTTTTTTCCTTTGGTAATTTGTTCAAAGATCAATATTGTGTATAGTAGAAGAACCTGAGTGAATCACACAAAGAAACATTGAAATACATGTATGTGTACCGAGAAATCAGATCGAGGATTTCACCGGTAAAATTTCATGTATTAATATACTGAAATCTTGAGCAGCATGAAATGGGGAAACCTGTAGGTAAATTTTGCTCATTCTCAAAAAATGGGTCTAATTAAACCTAGAAAGTGCTTTTGTGTCAAAATGTACAAGATTTAAAGCTGTTTTCCTGTTAGTTTATTGACTTGGGGTCTTGTCATGAATTCAAATGTGTTAGTAATTAATTAAAAGTTTGATACATGATGCAGAGACTACAAAATCTGTACTTTTTTGACAAAAGTTCTTTCTCTGATTACATTATTTTATCATTTTCAAATTTTAGCTCACTGAATATCTATCCATGTAGTGACATGGGTTTCAACATGCTTGTAATCAGAATTGTAGACATTTTAGCTCACCTGAACCAAAGGCTTGAGTGAGCTTTTCTGATCAAAATTTGGCCGTTGTCTGTCATCGTCATAGTTGATGATGTAAACTACTTGTGTTTTCTCTAGAACAACTGGAACAACTTCAACTAGACTTGGCACAAGGCATCCTTGTGTAGGGAATTCAATTTTTTTTCAAATGAAGGACCACACCCCTTTAAAGGGGAGAAAATAAGGAATTGGTGAAAATTTAATGGCATCTTTTAAACATCTTCTCAAGAACCCCTTGGCCAGAAAAGATGAAAGTTATTTGAAAACTTCATTACAGAGTGTAGATTTAAGTTTGTTCAAATCCTGACCTCTTAGGGTATGGTGGAGCCACAAAAGGAGACCATTTTTATATAGGAAAATATTCTTCTCAAGAACAGCAGAGCCATGATTAGTCATATTTATCAGGAAGCATCATGGGCCCTGGGGGTAGGGTGGGCTACAATAGATCAAAGTTTTACATAGAAATGTATAGGAGAAAATCTTAAATCTCAAGAAGAACAGCAAGGCCTTGATTAATCATCTTTATCTGGAAGCATCCTCAGATAGTGTAGATTCCAGTTTGTTCAGATAAGGGTCGTCTGGAATAGCTTGAGGCTACAGTAGGGAATCAAATTTTATTATAGGAAGAAGTCTTTTCAAGAGTTGCAAGACCACGCTATATCATATGAATAAGCAAACATTCACAAAAAAACAAAAAGGACATGTTAGCTTCAACAATAGAATAACTCTCCTCCCTATTGAAATGAGAGCCTTTTCCTCGTCCAGCTCTTTTTAAGTATCATCTAAAGACCAATGTCACCACTTTATCAAAGTTTTGCAAGAAATAAAAAGACTGATATATGTTCTTTTTAATATAAAACTCATATAAACTTGATACAAAAATATATACATACGATGTTTGTATCCGATTAAAAACACAATTAGCAATGGCATTGCGGAAACAAAACGATATTGTGTAGTAATTAAAATAAAACTTTATGAACACGCATCGTATGAGACAAAACGTCAAAAAAGGGTAAAAACAAAAGGATTAAAGTAAAGCCGTGTAAACATTTCATACAATGTACGAAATCAGTCGGTCTTATTTCCCATATTTCTATGAATTTATACATATAGAACATTTTTCAATTGAATATTTATATAAAACCTGTATTGACTATGATTAATGTTTACGAATACCGAGACTACCGGGGGAATAAATTTTGAAACTCGATAAAAAAAAATATTTTTGAGAAAGTTGGTTTATAATAAAACAAAAATCCGGTATCGCAGTAGATGCCGGTACGAAAGATATCCCCTATGACCATAAATGAACATATGAAATATTCTTGAAGGGACGGCATGCATCAACAAAGACTTTTCTAATGCTTTTACTCGCGTTATGGACACTCTTCCTACTGACATTACTATGTTTCCTTTTTTATCTTCATCCTCTTCATAAAATTGCTATAATTACAGAAAAGCTTCATTACAAATGTACGTACAGCACAGGGGCTAATCCGAGATTCCTCTGACTCTAACCCCTGCTTTTATATTGTGCACATGTCAAAATATATATAAAAGCAGGGGTTAGAATCAGAGGAATCTCGGATTACACGGGGGCTTGCTCCTGGCGTGTAAAAAAATATTTGTTTAAAAAAAACATACACGATATACTATGTTAACAGAAAATCGTGTATGTTTTTTTAATAAATATTTTTTACACGCCAGAAGCAAGCCCCTGTGATTACAGTTAGCAGAAGGCCATTCTCCGTCAGAATGCTGTTATAAAACTTATTGGCTCACATAAATTGTACAAACTCAACTAATACAGTATCAATTCGTCCTCGTTTTGGGCCCGCCTACTGGCGCTTAAATTTGCCACGGCCTCATCGTCGTCTTGGAAATGAAAGTTCATGACCCCGTTTGTCGTTCCCTTACTTTCTATAGGTTGTTTTTCTAATGTCATCTGAATTTCCTCTGCCTTGACAGTCTCGTTAAGACTGATATTCTGGTTGTGGTTTGAAAGTGGCGTTGTCACCGGAATATGAGTTGTGTTTGAATCTGTCACGATTTCCGTTACTATAACCTGTTCTTCGTCTTCTTCATCGAAGTTTATTTGTTTACTCTAAATTACAAGGAAAGTTTAAATAATATATATTCAAGTTTGAATTATACTGCAAACATTAAACTAGGATTCTATGTGAAAAGCACATTTAAAAAGCTACCTTTTCTTCATAACGTGGTGTTGGACTGTAAATAAAAAAAGATAGTTTACATTTCATATTGAAAGATAGTTTATATTTCATATTGAGATCCAGGAACGATCCGCGCTCGTAATTGTACACCAGTACTCACATTTCTTGTATCCAGTGATCTGTAATTGGAGAACGACAAACTCATAAAGAGAATCTTATTTTCATAGCATATTATTACAGAATCAGTCAAAAGACATACAAATATATAAAAGACGCATTTCGAAATGCTTTACCTGTAGAGACAGAATTATATATAGCATTTTTAGAGGTTCCGTTTTGTATCATTGTTAGTGTACCGCCTCGCTGTGTAGATGGGCGAGACCCTGGTCGCGATGGCGTAGTTTTGGTTGATAGTGGAATACTTTGAGCTCCATTCAGCTTAGGAAACTCAAATTTAGGTTTTATTGGTCTAGGTGATTTGGTCTTTCCTTGCCATGCTTGGTATTTTGGAAACCAATGATTCCTGAAAAATATAATAGTAATTATTGAAATTTTCAGTAAAATATAACCATGGATGTATTTGTTGAGAAAGGTACAGAAAGAGGAATTCTAATTCAGATTTTGTCTAACATTAAACAAGTCCACTGACCAGGTTATAACAAGAACCAACATTACGATCATGGCGATGAAGGCAAAGAATGTTACAATCGAGGAAGCAACCAGTCCACCCAGAGTATAGTTGTCTCCACGTGACCCTGTAACATGTACTTGCTATATTAAATGAGAATATAAGAAATGCGAATTCGTATTGATATATAAAGTCATTGGAAACAACAGATTTTTGCATCCAACTTCTTTTGCATCATGTAATGGAGCTTCAACATGAACAGATTAATTTAAGGCCTGTTTTTTTATAATGCATGTGACTTTTCCGACCATTTTTAAATATGCATCCATTATTATGCATTGCCGAAACTACACCTATTTTTAACAACAAATGTGCAGTTAGTTTGCATTACCTTAAATTAAGCGATATTATTAAACAAAACCAATTTTAGTTTCTGTATACATAAAAAAAAAACTTCGTTATTTTTTCATTCGGGAAAGAGAACAAAATCAAGTATTTGATCAGTATTATTTGATCCATATTCGAGGAACTGCGAACGATAGTATTGTTCTGCCGTCTACCTCCAAGTCAATTTTCAAAAATTGACACAATTGAATGATTTTTCATATTTATGTAGATATTAATGTGAATTTTCGTAAAACGTAACTTATTTGGGAAAACAAAGAGAAATAACTTTATAATTTTGATAAAACTTGTGTTTTTCCCTATAGAAATCAACAAAAACGCACGTTATTTTTAAAACATCTCCCCCCCCCCCCACCCCCCGTGAAACAAAAATTCCTTTTTACAGGTATTATACTATCATGTTGTAAATTTTGAATTTACTAGGGGGAGGTAAATGCAAAATTTTGCATTTACCTCCCCCTAGTAAATTCAAAATTTACAACATGATAATACATTGTTATTTCAAATCCATACCAAAGCTTTTGTTGTTTCACAAGGGGGAACATATGTTTACAGATAAAAACAGCAGAAGTGGCCATTCTTTTACCAATTTCAAATGGGATTACAAATAAAAAAAAAATAGTGGGGCACTTTGTTAATTATATTTGTTGAATTTTACATAAGTTAAACATGCGGATAGATTTAGGGGTCATTTATCCATTTTCATGAGTATTTGAAAATCTGGTGATGTTAAAAAGGCCTGATTTCAACGGAAAAAAATTTCTACCCCCCCCTTATGGAAAGACTTGTAAATAAGAGCAATGAACTGTTTTTAAAATTATTAATCAATTACTAATGAACTCTTCTTTGCACTCAGTTAAGTTTTAATGGCCAAATTGCAATCTATATTGAATTAAATGAGTTTAAAATGTAGGCGAGAATCGAGAGTTTAGCGTTCATAGTTCTTTTATGTGTTGTTTCGTCTATAGGTAAAAAATTTAATGAAATTTGGGAAACATTTAATATTTTGAACTCTCTATCATGTTTCATTTAATTCTCTCTGTTTCTAGCAGTTTCTTTCATTGAAACTGCTTTTCTTTATTTCGGAGCTTTAAAAGAATCGCGTCTTTGTTTGGAACGTTGGTACATGCACAGTTACAATGTGAAGAATTTTAAAGTACGTTACGATTGAAATTTATTCGTACTCAGATTACATGGAACATGCAGTATATAGTCACCAATTAATAGCTACTTCTGGGACTTCAGATTTCTAGGGGCATTGCAGAGATAAAAATAATGATATGGTTTTATAAAGTAGTTTGTCGGACAAAACGTTGTTGTAGTCACGGCCTGTCGCATTTACTTATTCATTCATAGCGGATATCCAGGCCTCCGATTCATACAGAATCATAAATTCATCTGATGTTTTAAAAATTTGTTTTCGTGAATAGGGGACAAAGAATCGTTCCGATAAAATCTTTACATTTAATTTTCTATGAACTTTGGATAAACTCTTCAAATCAATGAAGAATGGTCATTCTAAACATACGACACATTTCAATTTTTGCTGATATTTAAATTCTATAGATCTAGTCGGGAGTAGGAATAATTAGAAAAAGTGAAATATAAACAGGTAGTAAGATAAAGCAGTTGGGTTATGTATTTTGAAAGAAAAGGACAGTGCAGCCATATTTTACACATTAAAGAAAACGAATTAGTGACAGTGTACATAGACAACCTAATCTTTAATAATAAATAAACATGCACCAGATCAATATCGCGGAACCGGTTTGTAATGTGTATTGGTGTCAGATTAAAAATCGATTGTTCCCATATTCTCTTTAATTCCTAAGGTAGAGATGTCAACATAAAAATATTTAAGTTGTTGATGGTGGAATTACAATATTGCAATAAAACTGAACAAGAATTGCAAAACTTAAGCCGATTCAGAGATTCGTAATTACAAATCGTACATACCGGGTAAAAAAGACAGAAACACAAGGAGGGTTTTCAGCAGCAGAAATCCTCCCGCCATGATGACCGCCTGAAGTGAATTCGGATCAATGTAAGAGAGATGTTTATAGAGGTCCTGTGACCATTAATTCACAGAAGGTGGGTAGAACCCTAATATTACATCCTGAATGAAGCTTACAAGGGTACGCCCTTTATAGATCTAAGACTGATCTTGTTGCGAGCATTGGAGCAAGAAGTCCTTTTAAAAACGCAAACATTTAAATCTCAACACTTGTGCAAACATAACAAAACAAGTTTTGGAAGAGCTTGAGCGAATCAATTATACGTGCTCCTAATTATGGTCTACACATTTACAGCAAAGTTACACAAATATTGTGAAAAATGAAAGTAAATTCTATGCACTCTACAAAACATGCAGGTTTTGAAGTTAATGAAAAACTCATACTTATTTAGTATTTTTCTACCAAAAAAAATGAATAAATATTAATCTATTTAAAATGTTCATTTTTTTCTAAACACTTCCTTGTAAGAAATACTGTATTATTATTTATTTAAAAAAAATTAATTGTAGTAGAATGGATTGCATGCTTCGCTAGCCCTTTTGATTGATGTGAAATAGATTGCTAACAAAACAGAATTACAGGTATAATCCCTCCTATGTATCATTTTATCTTGTTCGTTTGTCATTTCGCCTATAGTAAGTGCTTACTGAAATAAAGAGGTTACGAGTTCTCAGTCTCTTATATGAGATGTTAATTTTCAGTTGCGGATCCAAAAGTTAATGTAGAGGGTTAGATGCCGGGGGGGGGGGGGGATGGGAGGGGCTGTTGAGAGGGGCGTGGGCCTCCCCGGAAAATGTTTTTAAGATAAAGCTCAAAATTGTGAATTGTAGACAAAATCTGTTAGGTTTGTAGGTCACCTGAGTTTACTCAGGTGACCTATTGCCATCCGTTTTCGTCTCCGTCGGCGTGCATCGTGCTTTAACATTAGAACATTTTCAGCTTCTTTTCTGAAACCGCACAACCATTTTCAACCAATTTTGGCATATAGCATCTATGGGTGAAGGGGGACAAAGTTTGTGAATTTCATGGTCCCTACCCCCCTGGGGCCTGAGGGATGGGGCCAAACCACTAAAATTAATGCAATCTTTAAAAATCTTCTTCTTTACTCCTGGACATCAAGCAGTCAAACTGTTTGCATGATTGTAATAAGCATTGAGTCCTCTACCAAAATTGTGAAATTTATGGCCCCAGGTCAGGGGTTCTGGCGCTAGGGCGGGGCTCTAATGATTATATAGTGAAAATGCATTAATTCTTTAAAAATCTTCTCCTCTGCTCCTGGGTATTTAGCCGACGAACTAAGTACATAGTTATGATGAAGGGGGGGGGGTCTCTTTTAAAATTGTGAATTTCAAGGCCCCTGGGTCAGGGGTACTGGTGTTGGAGCGGGGCTCTAATGATAATATAGTGAAAATGCATTAATTCTTTGAAAATCTTTTCCTCTGGTCCTGGGTATTAAGCCGATGAACTAAATTATAGTTATGATGAGGAGGGGTGCCTCTTCTAAAATTGTGAATTTCATGGCCCCTGGATTAGGGGTTCTGGTGTTAGGGCGGGGCTCTAATGGTAATATAGTGAAAATGCATTACTTCTTTGAAAATCTTCTTCTCTGCTCCTGGGTATTAAGTCGGTGTATTAAGTCGATAGTTATAATAAAGAAGGATGCCTCTTCTAAAATTATGAATTTCATGGTCCTTGGGTCTGGGGTTCGAGTGTTAGGGCGGGGCTCTATTGATTATATAGTGAAAATGCATAAATTCTTTAAAAACCTTCTTCTCTCCCACTGTATATAAAGAAGATAAACTAGGTATATGGTAATGATGATCAATGTGAAATTTGTGGCCCCAGGGTGAGGGGTTCTGTGGGACGGAGGGTTCTATTCATTATATTGTGAAAGTGCATTATTTCTTTAAAAAAATCTTCTTCTGTGTTCCTAGGTATTTAGCAGATAAACCAAGTATATAGTTATTATGAGCAAGGTCACATCTTCCAAAATTGTGAATATCTTGGCCCCTGGATCAGGGGTTCTGGTGTTAGGGTGGGGCTCTATTGATCAAATAGCGAAAATGCATAAATTCTTTAAAAATCTTATTCTCTCCCTCTGTATATTAAGCAGATAAACTAAGTGAATGGTTATGATGATCAATAGTGCCTCTTCCAAAATTGTGAAATTTGTGGCCCCAGGGTGAGGGTTCAGCGGGAAGGGGGGTCTCTATTGATTATATAGTGAAAGTGCATTATTTCTTTAAAAATCTTCTTCTGTGCTCCTAGGTATTAAGCGGATAAACCGAATATATAGTTATGATGATCAAGGGTGCCTCTTCCAAAATTGTGAAATTTGTGGCCCCAGGGTGAAGGGTTCTGCGAGGGAGGGGAGGGGGTGGCACTATTGATTACATAGTGAAAGTGCATTATTTCTTTTAAAATCTTCTTCTCTGCTCCTAGATATTTAGCAGATAATCGAAGTATATAGTTATGATGAGCAAGGACATCTCTTTCAAAATTATGTATATCTTGGTCCCTGGGTCAGTGGTTCTGGTGTTAGGGAGGGGTTCTATTAAGTGCATATTTATGTTGATTAAGGATGCCTCTTCCAAAATTGTGAAATTTGTGGCCCCAGGGGTTCATGTTTTGGGGGGGGGGGTCTATTAAATGTATAGTGTAATGCAATTTTTTGTTGAAAATCTTCTCTGCCCCGGGGTAATTAACAGAAAAACTAATTGCATGGTTATGACGAGCAAGGAAAACTTTTCTTAAAAGTTAAAATACATAGCCACGGGGTCAGGGATTTTGGTGTTAGGGTGAGGCTCTTTTGAATATATAGTAGAAATGCATTATTTCTTTGAAAATCTTGTTCTTTGCCCATTGTTATTAAGGAAACATACTATGTACATGGTTATAATGAGCAAGAGTGCAGCTTCCAAAATTGTGAATATCTTGGCCCCTGGGTCAGGGGCATTGGTGTTAGCGTGGGGCTATATTGAATCTATAGTGAAAATTGATTATTTCCTTGAAAATCTTCTCTGCTCCTGGGCATGAAGGAGGCAAATAAAGTATACAAAGTTGTAATAAACAGGGATGTTTTTACCAAAGTTTGAAATTCTGTACCCTTTGGTCAATTTATTTATTTCTACTGAAAGAAGTTATTCCCCTTTGCTATTCACATATAATAGTTAATCACTGTAAATAATGTAACTTAAAAGGTCAATTGAATAACAGAATTATACAAGAAATTTTATAATATTTAATACAAAAGTACTTTCATAGTTTTTAATGGTCAGGTAAACTTTTAAATAATAGATAAATGAAAATGGGACAAAATTATCATATCTTTGTACAATATATAATCTTTAAAGATCAAGAGAGGCCAGTGCAGGGGGGGGGGGGGTGAATTGTGTTAACTAATAGTGCTCTAGAACTATTGTTTTGTTTGTCCGCATGAGGATAGTGACAAATGGGGAAAGTACAGGCAAATAAATAGATCAACTTTAAGATTTGTTATGGAGTACTAAATTAATATTTTTCTGATCCCTGATCATCCTATTTCTCTTGCTTTTGGAAAACAAAGCTTTATTTATCAGCTTATTTTGTTTTAATCTATGGATCATTACATTATACTCAGGTGACCGTTAAGGCCCTTGGGCCTCTTGTTTTTTCTTTCTTGCCTTGACAGGGCTTCTATGTACATAAAATAAGTTCTACCCAATTCATCATACGAAGTTGTAACTGTTAATTAGGTTTTATTATACACACATATTTCAATGGAATTTATATTCCGGTGAATAATGTACTTCTTCGGTGGCAAAATCATCATATTGACCTCAAAGACAGCAATAATTGTATATTACTGCAACAATAGATTAACTGTGTGTAGTAATGAATATTTTTAAATGATCCTGTGTCATCATTTTTGATTGCCTGTGTATTTTCTGTGTTCAAGCGGAAAGGGATTCCCAGTTACTTGTAGACCTTTGTGCAGGTATTGTGTGAAACAATGGTCAACCTCACATTAACTTGTTGTTAAACTGAAAATTGTAAGTTTTTAAAAAATCAAAGACTTATTCAGTGTCGTTGCTTGTTCCAATTTTATTTAGCTATTGCAAATTTATTATTATAATGGAAAATAATTCCCAAGTATGTAAATTGTTCAACAATTTCCAAAACATTATTACCAGTAAACCATTTTTGGCTAGATTTGATTTTGTCCTTATTTCTAAAAATTAAAACTTTAGATTTATATATGTATATTATTTATTTATTATTAATATTTGTTTTTGTATTTTTCCTTCCATATGTGTCTTTTGCACTTTATTTACTTATTTAGTTTTGCTGTTTGTTGCACTCTTCTATTTTCTTTCCATAATATTGTATAATGTTTGTTTGTTTGTATGTTGTTTAACGTCCCTCTCGAGAATTTTTCACTCATATAAAGACGCCACCACTTCCCGGTGGAGAGCTGCAAATTTTGTCCTATACTCGGCACTTACGGCCATTGAGCTGTGAGGGATCTTTTTCGTGCCAGCACCTACTGCGACACGGGGCCTCGGTTTATACGGTCTCATCCGAAGGACCGGTCTCCACGTCCCACAGTGGGATTCGAACCCGCGACGTAAGGATCAACTCCCTACTCCGCGACTCTAGAGCAGACGCTCTAACCACTGCGCCACGCGGGCGACTATTATATAATGAGAATATATACTAAGTAATAACTCTTGTGTATAAGATGGGTGAACAAGGCGCGCAGAATGCCTATAGCTTCAGATATGTAAAAATCACAATTAAATTTTATGAAATTATGATAAACAAAACTTTTCTGAGGAAAATTTTCTCGGCAAAAATTTATTCCGCTATTAAAAATAACAAGGAAAAATTTGTTATAATTGAGATTTAAGTTTTCACCTTCATGATTGTCGCACTATAGGCATTGCGCTCGCCTTGTTCGCCCATCTTCTTTATATTTTTCATTTCTTCCTTTTCTAGTTTACATTAGAAATTACTAGTAATGTAATTTGTTATGAACTATTTCATCATTGTAAACCATTGTCAATTCTTAACATTTGTAACCTTGACCTTCTTGGAGAGGACATATAGGCCATGCCTGATGTCCAATCCAATTATGTAATTTGACTTTACATAATAAAATACGGATTAAATTAAAGACCGGGGGAGATGTGTTTCCCGATCCCCCCTTGAATCAGCCACTGATTTTAACACCATTGGAAAGAATCCTTTTATCATACATCTAATAATTTCAAAAAATGGCACGAATTCAGATTCATTATTAAAAAATATAAATAAATGTAGATAAAATTCTTTTATGATTATTTCGAAGCAAAACTGTCACAAACACGTCTTTGATAAGTGATGAAATTATTTGCGCACTTTGACTTATGAAACAAATTGTTATACATTTTGTTGAAAGCATTTTTCTTAACAATTGGTCAAACATGTTCTATTCTTAAGAGAATATTTATAATGTGATTTAACGTTATAATAAAGAAGGATTATGAATCAAGTATTAAATATTATTTTATTTTTGAATAACTAATATCACAGACAGTTAACACAGGTGCTTGAGGACAGGATCCCCCCCCCCTCCCCCATAAAGACCCCCGGGCCTGTTCGACTTTTTTTCTGATAAATTATATATAGATGACACATTTGTGATATAATCTATATTATCAATTCGAAAAATTGGCTGAAACAAACATTTCATAAAAATTACTACCCTTCTCTATATATATAAGTTGATTTATATAGAGAGAGTTGGGTGGATTTTATAAAATGTTTGCTTTAGGTAATTTTCCAATTGTTGGTATAGATTATATCACAAATATGTCATTGAAAGATAAGTTATGAGAAAATAGTCGAAAAGGCCCGGGGTCTATAGTTGGGGGGGGGGGGGGGTCCTGTCCTCAAGCACCAGTGACAGTTAATAAAAGAATTTACTAAGCACATGTCTATGTAATTGTGGTTCTGCGTCGTGATAGACACGTCAAGCTTTGAAAAGCAATTAAACAACTATAAATATGAGAAAATAAATGCTAATAGAACTCCTAAAGGAATTAGAAGATAGTGTGACGTCATAGTTGTGCTTCCAGAATCCCAAGCCGGAAATGGACAAGTGTCAGGAGCTGAAAATAAAGGGTAATAATGAGTAAATGTACATTAAAAAGTATACTGGATGCGTTGAAAATTCAACAACCCTTCTTTGGTTGTTAAATTTAATAATACTCACTTTATTTTAAAAAGTTGCATTAATTTATTGTGAAAAATTCATTTTTTTAAAGGACTGAGCGTTTCAAATATGTTTGGTCGAAAATAAAAACGGGTAATATTTCCTAGAGTATAACTCACGTCCACAAGCGGTTGTCGTTTGGGTTTGTGCGGTAGACTGTTGTTGAGCCTGTGATATTGAGTCATTCGTGGTGACAGTATGGTGCGATGTTGTTGTCTGTTGTTGAACTTGAGAAAGTGCGCCATTTGTTGTTGCAACAGGGGATGATGTTATCTGTTTTTCTACTTGAGATACTGAGCCATTTGTAGAAGCAACATTGGGCAACATTGATGTCTGCTGATGGCTTGTTCGTGTGCCATCTGTTGTGGTAACAGATGACAAAGTTGCTGTATTTTGGTGAGTTTGTAACGAAGTGAGATCCGTAGTTGTTTGGTGCTGAATTTTTGATGATGTGCGGCCTGTAGTGGCAATATAGGAAGGCGTTGTAGCTTGTTGACGGGTTTGTGTCTGATCAGTGGGGACAGTACGGAATGATGTTGTTTGTTGCCGGGATAGTGATACAGGACCATCTGTTGTAGTAAAGAGAGACGAAGTCCTGGATTGTTCCTTAGTTTGAGTTTCACTTTTTGGGGAAGATGTAGATAAAAAGGTCGAAGAAACAATGGGTTGCTTAGTGAATATGCTTGACTGGAGTGTAGTAACCTGGCTTGTTGACACAAGTGTTACGGATGTGTATGACTGAGAGGCAGGAGGTATTTCGGTTGATTGAGTTTTGGCTATAGTTTGATCAGCAGACGGTGTGTGTGTGCTTGAGGAAGTGGAGACTTTCACAGTTGAGAAATCTCTATTCGTGGAATCAGAAGTTGAATGTTCTGTGTGCTGGGAAGTCTTTTCAGAAATTTGCTTTTGGGTCTGTGTAGATGGAACAGTAGTCTGCTGACCAGGTAAATGAGTTGTACCATAACTGCTGCAATCTGATCCAGTCGGGAGTGTTCTGCTGGCTACTGCATACTCCCAATTACAATTAGTAATTGTTACATCCCAAAGAGTTCCAGGATGGCATTCATATGGATAAGGAATACCATGTGCACATTGGTAGTAAAGTTTCATATCGCATTTGTCTTCATAAAACTTTCCATGAATACAATCTGATGGAGCTGAAATTTAGAAGACAAACTGTTAAATATATACCATTGACATATACTTTTTCGTCGAGAAAATTCGAAACATGTTGGATAAACGAGTAAAAATATGCATCATGATTGAACTTACGACCACAGCCACAGGGTGCAGACGAAGTAAGGACGAGGTAATCCCAGTTACAATTTTGGATTCGTTTATCCCACACTGTTCCAGTAGCACACTCGTAGTGCCATGCAACACCAGACGAACACTGGTAGTACTTGCGAATGTCACAGCTGTCCTCATAAAATTGACCATCTACACATGACTTTGGTGCTGTAAAAATTTCTTTGAATATTATCTACACAGTATGCTTTTCTGAATTTTTTTTATATCTTATAAGAGCAGAAGTCATAACGATTACCTCCACAGATAGCCGATTTCGTTGTATAAACAATCTCTGTTGAAACTGTGTGGGACTGCGTTGTCCCCTCACTGTTTACTTGGATATCTGTGGATACATAATAGTTTGAACTAGAAGATCCAGTTGTTCCAACGGTTGAATCTTGTGGAGGAAGAGATGAAGTAAAGACTTTAGACGAAGAGTTTGTTGAAGGTATCATTGAAGATACTACAGATGATCCAGACAGCTCACTTCGCAATAAGTTCATCAGAGGATACGCCCCATCGCCACAGCTGTTGCTGAAATCGTCTTGATCAAGAGACCAAACCATACCGCCACCCAGTCCTTTGGACTTGATGTAGTCAACCTATCAACGAGAGGACGAGTGAAAATTATAGTCTAGACAGACCAGATTCATCAGTGGGATTGCAAGCTGTGTAACTGTATCGGAGCTTAGGCCTAGACACTTCTCCCCTTTAAGCTTACCTTTACTTGGAAACTCTCTGTGTCGTCATATCCAATCCACTGGGTACCGTGATACGCATACGGTACCTTGTGCTCACCGTGCCACTGTCTTGTCCAACCATTGTATTTCAAATTATAACACACCTGCAACATTTGATCCGATCTTAGTAAAAATGATGAGTACTCTTCTTTTTTTTTTCGAATGCTATAATCATTCGAGTTCAAATTGTTAGATCAGCAAAAGTGACTTCTTAATTGAAATGACTGGAAAACGTTACATGCCTCGTAATAGGCCAACAACCCTGCTTCTCCAGTATACGTTCCAGCCGCTCCTGCTCCTACGGCGGGCGCTCCTACTCCTGTATTACTGGAACTAGAGAGGGTGAAGGATCTGCCATACAAACCCATTCCCAAAACCAGTTTTTCTGGAGGTGCACCGAGATTAATCCAGTAGTTCACCGCGTAATCCTGCGCAAATATTGAATGAAAGATGCGAGGCAAGTACATTCAAAAGATCTATTAGCGAGGAAATCATACCCGAACTGACAAACCTACCACATTCATATATGCAGCAGTTCCAACTTCACCGGCACGGCCAAATAGCGCACTGTGATGTCCGGTGGTTGCTTCCCAGCTTCCATGAAGATCGTAGCTCATTAGGTTGATGAAATCTAGCTCTCTGAAATACAGAAGAAGAAATAAAATAACTCATGAGTGCACTTGGCAAATCAGGCACCCGGCACAGCCAGAATGCAACTTACTTGGAGATGAGGTCAATTTCATAGGCTTTGTCGATTGTACTTTTGCCAGCTGCAACAGCTGCCGTCAGTAACAGAGGCGCGCGGTTGTTGGCTACACCATCAGCGTCAAACACTTGGCGAAGTTTCTGAAAGAGAAGACAGACATAGTGGGAGCCTTGTGGCAAGATCTGTGGACTTGATACAGCTGCCCTGGAACGGAAGTTTTTGTTATACTGACCTGCACAAAAGACGTGAAACGCTGTTTGTCCTCTGGAGGGCTTCCATTACCACCCGGATACTCCCAGTCCAGATCCAGACCGTCGAATCCGTAAGTTTTTAAGTAGGCCAAGGCGTTGTTTGCAAAAGCTGCCATGTCATTGGGGTCATCTACCACGGCAGTGAAGGGCGCGGTGCCGTGAGTCCATCCACCTATGGCCAGCAGGATCTTGAGGTCTGGGTTCACGGATCGCAGGTTCATTATCTTCTCGTATTGGCCTGCATTGAGAATAGTCCAACATGTGAGTACAAACGAATCCAAGCAAGGCACCAGTGTTTTTTTTGTCGCCTCGAGAGCTTGAATACCTGACACGTTACCGAAAATGATCTATATTCTACCTACAATGGCCTAGGTGACGTGTTACTTACCACCGGTGCCCTTGTCGTTCCACTCATAAGCATCGATTGTGTTGCCCACGACTTTACCGAAAGCGTACATGATATGAGTGCAGAGGAAAGGATCCACATCATCCGCTTTGAAGGTCATAGGAGCAGTTCTGTATTGTGCCCAGTTGGTGAAGTAACATACTCGTTTGTATCCCGACACTGCAGTGCTGGGAATGGTGGTAGGTAATCTAGTGGAGGAGGATGGCACAGTTTGAGAGGAGGAATGCAATGATGGTGGCAAAGGAGTGGAAGCTACAGGTGATCCAGACAGCTCACTTCGCAATAAGTTCATCAGAGGATACGCCCCATCGCCACAGCTGTTGCTGAAATCGTCTTGATCAAGAGACCAAACCATACCGCCACCCAGTCCTTTGGACTTGATGTAGTCAACCTATCAACGAGAGGACGAGTGAAAATTATAGTCTAGACAGACCAGATTCATCAGTGGGATTGCAAGCTGTGTAACTGTATCGGAGCTTAGGCCTAGACACTTCTCCCCTTTAAGCTTACCTTTACTTGGAAACTCTCTGTGTCGTCATATCCAATCCACTGGGTACCGTGATACGCATACGGTACCTTGTGCTCACCGTGCCACTGTCTTGTCCAACCATTGTATTTCAAATTATAACACACCTGCAACATTTGATCCGATCTTAGTAAAAATGATGAGTACTCTTCTTTTTTTTTTTCGAATGCTATAATCATTCGAGTTCAAATTGTTAGATCAGCAAAAGTGACTTCTTAATTGAAATGACTGGAAAACGTTACATGCCTCGTAATAGGCCAACAACCCTGCTTCTCCAGTATACGTTCCAGCCGCTCCTGCTCCTACGGCGGGCGCTCCTACTCCTGTATTACTGGAACTAGAGAGGGTGAAGGATCTGCCATACAAACCCATTCCCAAAACCAGTTTTTCTGGAGGTGCACCGAGATTAATCCAGTAGTTCACCGCGTAATCCTGCGCAAATAATGAATGAAAGATGCGAGGCAAGTACATTCAAAAGATCTATTAGCGAGGAAATCATACCCGAACTGACAAACCTACCACATTCATATATGCAGCAGTTCCAACTTCACCGGCACGGCCAAATAGCGCACTGTGATGTCCGGTGGTTGCTTCCCAGCTTCCATGAAGATCGTAGCTCATTAGGTTGATGAAATCTAGCTCTCTGAAATACAGAAGAAGAAATAAAATAACTCATGAGTGCACTTGGCAAATCAGGCACCCGGCACAGCCAGAATGCAACTTACTTGGAGATGAGGTCAATTTCATAGGCTTTGTCGATTGTACTTTTGCCAGCTGCAACAGCTGCCGTCAGTAACAGAGGCGCGCGGTTGTTGGCTACACCATCAGCGTCAAACACTTGGCGAAGTTTCTGAAAGAGAAGACAGACATAGTGGGAGCCTTGTGGCAAGATCTGTGGAATTGATACAGCTGCCCTGGAACGGAAGTTTTTGTTATACTGACCTGCACAAAAGACGTGAAACGCTGTTTGTCCTCTGGAGGGCTTCCATTACCACCCGGATACTCCCAGTCCAGATCCAGACCGTCGAATCCGTAAGTTTTTAAGTAGGCCAAGGCGTTGTTTGCAAAAGCTGCCATGTCATTGGGGTCATCTACCACGGCAGTGAAGGGCGCGGTGCCGTGAGTCCATCCACCTATGGCCAGCAGGATCTTGAGGTCTGGGTTCACGGATCGCAGGTTCATTATCTTCTCGTATTGGCCTGCATTGAGAATAGTCCAACATGTGAGTACAAACGAATCCAAGCAAGGCACCAGTGTTTTTTTTGTCGCCTCGAGAGCTTGAATACCTGACACGTTACCGAAAATGATCTATATTCTACCTACAATGGCCTAGGTGACGTGTTACTTACCACCGGTGCCCTTGTCGTTCCACTCATAAGCATCGATTGTGTTGCCCACGACTTTACCGAAAGCGTACATGATATGAGTGCAGAGGAAAGGATCCACATCATCCGCTTTGAAGGTCATAGGAGCAGTTCTGTATTGTGCCCAGTTGGTGAAGTAACATACTCGTTTGTATCCCGACACTGCAGTGCTGGGAATGGTGGTAGGTAATCTAGTGGAGGAGGATGGCACAGTTTGAGAGGAGGAATGCAATGATGGTGGCAAAGGAGTGGAAGCTACAGGTGATCCAGACAGCTCACTTCGCAATAAGTTCATCAGAGGATACGCCCCATCGCCACAGCTGTTGCTGAAATCGTCTTGATCAAGAGACCAAACCATACCGCCACCCAGTCCTTTGGACTTGATGTAGTCAACCTATCAACGAGAGGACGAGTGAAAATTATAGTCTAGACAGACCAGATTCATCAGTGGGATTGCAAGCTGTGTAACTGTATCGGAGCTTAGGCCTAGACACTTCTCCCCTTTAAGCTTACCTTTACTTGGAAACTCTCTGTGTCGTCATATCCAATCCACTGGGTACCGTGATACGCATACGGTACCTTGTGCTCACCGTGCCACTGTCTTGTCCAACCATTGTATTTCAAATTATAACACACCTGCAACATTTGATCCGATCTTAGTAAAAATGATGAGTACTCTTCTTTTTTTTTTCGAATGCTATAATCATTCGAGTTCAAATTGTTAGATCAGCAAAAGTGACTTCTTAATTGAAATGACTGGAAAACGTTACATGCCTCGTAATAGGCCAACAACCCTGCTTCTCCAGTATACGTTCCAGCCGCTCCTGCTCCTACGGCGGGCGCTCCTACTCCTGTATTACTGGAACTAGAGAGGGTGAAGGATCTGCCATACAAACCCATTCCCAAAACCAGTTTTTCTGGAGGTGCACCGAGATTAATCCAGTAGTTCACCGCGTAATCCTGCGCAAATAATGAATGAAAGATGCGAGGCAAGTACATTCAAAAGATCTATTAGCGAGGAAATCATACCCGAACTGACAAACCTACCACATTCATATATGCAGCAGTTCCAACTTCACCGGCACGGCCAAATAGCGCACTGTGATGTCCGGTGGTTGCTTCCCAGCTTCCATGAAGATCGTAGCTCATTAGGTTGATGAAATCTAGCTCTCTGAAATACAGAAGAAGAAATAAAATAACTCATGAGTGCACTTGGCAAATCAGGCACCCGGCACAGCCAGAATGCAACTTACTTGGAGATGAGGTCAATTTCATAGGCTTTGTCGATTGTACTTTTGCCAGCTGCAACAGCTGCCGTCAGTAACAGAGGCGCGCGGTTGTTGGCTACACCATCAGCGTCAAACACTTGGCGAAGTTTCTGAAAGAGAAGACAGACATAGTGGGAGCCTTGTGGCAAGATCTGTGGACTTGATACAGCTGCCCTGGAACGGAAGTTTTTGTTATACTGACCTGCACAAAAGACGTGAAACGCTGTTTGTCCTCTGGAGGGCTTCCATTACCACCCGGATACTCCCAGTCCAGATCCAGACCGTCGAATCCGTAAGTTTTTAAGTAGGCCAAGGCGTTGTTTGCAAAAGCTGCCATGTCATTGGGGTCATCTACCACGGCAGTGAAGGGCGCGGTGCCGTGAGTCCATCCACCTATGGCCAGCAGGATCTTGAGGTCTGGGTTCACGGATCGCAGGTTCATTATCTTCTCGTATTGGCCTGCATTGAGAATAGTCCAACATGTGAGTACAAACGAATCCAAGCAAGGCACCAGTGTTTTTTTTGTCGCCTCGAGAGCTTGAATACCTGACACGTTACCGAAAATGATCTATATTCTACCTACAATGGCCTAGGTGACGTGTTACTTACCACCGGTGCCCTTGTCGTTCCACTCATAAGCATCGATTGTGTTGCCCACGACTTTACCGAAAGCGTACATGATATGAGTGCAGAGGAAAGGATCCACATCATCCGCTTTGAAGGTCATAGGAGCAGTTCTGTATTGTGCCCAGTTGGTGAAGTAACATACTCGTTTGTATCCCGACACTGCAGTGCTGGGAATGGTGGTAGGTAATCTAGTGGAGGAGGATGGCACAGTTTGAGAGGAGGAATGCAATGATGGTGGCAAAGGAGTGGAAGCTACAGGTGATCCAGACAGCTCACTTCGCAATAAGTTCATCAGAGGATACGCCCCATCGCCACAGCTGTTGCTGAAATCGTCTTGATCAAGAGACCAAACCATACCGCCACCCAGTCCTTTGGACTTGATGTAGTCAACCTATCAACGAGAGGACGAGTGAAAATTATAGTCTAGACAGACCAGATTCATCAGTGGGATTGCAAGCTGTGTAACTGTATCGGAGCTTAGGCCTAGACACTTCTCCCCTTTAAGCTTACCTTTACTTGGAAACTCTCTGTGTCGTCATATCCAATCCACTGGGTACCGTGATACGCATACGGTACCTTGTGCTCACCGTGCCACTGTCTTGTCCAACCATTGTATTTCAAATTATAACACACCTGCAACATTTGATCCGATCTTAGTAAAAATGATGAGTACTCTTCTTTTTTTTTTCGAATGCTATAATCATTCGAGTTCAAATTGTTAGATCAGCAAAAGTGACTTCTTAATTGAAATGACTGGAAAACGTTACATGCCTCGTAATAGGCCAACAACCCTGCTTCTCCAGTATACGTTCCAGCCGCTCCTGCTCCTACGGCGGGCGCTCCTACTCCTGTATTACTGGAACTAGAGAGGGTGAAGGATCTGCCATACAAACCCATTCCCAAAACCAGTTTTTCTGGAGGTGCACCGAGATTAATCCAGTAGTTCACCGCGTAATCCTGCGCAAATAATGAATGAAAGATGCGAGGCAAGTACATTCAAAAGATCTATTAGCGAGGAAATCATACCCGAACTGACAAACCTACCACATTCATATATGCAGCAGTTCCAACTTCACCGGCACGGCCAAATAGCGCACTGTGATGTCCGGTGGTTGCTTCCCAGCTTCCATGAAGATCGTAGCTCATTAGGTTGATGAAATCTAGCTCTCTGAAATACAGAAGAAGAAATAAAATAACTCATGAGTGCACTTGGCAAATCAGGCACCCGGCACAGCCAGAATGCAACTTACTTGGAGATGAGGTCAATTTCATAGGCTTTGTCGATTGTACTTTTGCCAGCTGCAACAGCTGCCGTCAGTAACAGAGGCGCGCGGTTGTTGGCTACACCATCAGCGTCAAACACTTGGCGAAGTTTCTGAAAGAGAAGACAGACATAGTGGGAGCCTTGTGGCAAGATCTGTGGACTTGATACAGCTGCCCTGGAACGGAAGTTTTTGTTATACTGACCTGCACAAAAGACGTGAAACGCTGTTTGTCCTCTGGAGGGCTTCCATTACCACCCGGATACTCCCAGTCCAGATCCAGACCGTCGAATCCGTAAGTTTTTAAGTAGGCCAAGGCGTTGTTTGCAAAAGCTGCCATGTCATTGGGGTCATCTACCACGGCAGTGAAGGGCGCGGTGCCGTGAGTCCATCCACCTATGGCCAGCAGGATCTTGAGGTCTGGGTTCACGGATCGCAGGTTCATTATCTTCTCGTATTGGCCTGCATTGAGAATAGTCCAACATGTGAGTACAAACGAATCCAAGCAAGGCACCAGTGTTTTTTTTGTCGCCTCGAGAGCTTGAATACCTGACACGTTACCGAAAATGATCTATATTCTACCTACAATGGCCTAGGTGACGTGTTACTTACCACCGGTGCCCTTGTCGTTCCACTCATAAGCATCGATTGTGTTGCCCACGACTTTACCGAAAGCGTACATGATATGAGTGCAGAGGAAAGGATCCACATCATCCGCTTTGAAGGTCATAGGAGCAGTTCTGTATTGTGCCCAGTTGGTGAAGTAACATACTCGTTTGTATCCCGACACTGCAGTGCTGGGAATGGTGGTAGGTAATCTAGTGGAGGAGGATGGCACAGTTTGAGAGGAGGAATGCAATGATGGTGGCAAAGGAGTGGAAGCTACAGGTGATCCAGACAGCTCACTTCGCAATAAGTTCATCAGAGGATACGCCCCATCGCCACAGCTGTTGCTGAAATCGTCTTGATCAAGAGACCAAACCATACCGCCACCCAGTCCTTTGGACTTGATGTAGTCAACCTATCAACGAGAGGACGAGTGAAAATTATAGTCTAGACAGACCAGATTCATCAGTGGGATTGCAAGCTGTGTAACTGTATCGGAGCTTAGGCCTAGACACTTCTCCCCTTTAAGCTTACCTTTACTTGGAAACTCTCTGTGTCGTCATATCCAATCCACTGGGTACCGTGATACGCATACGGTACCTTGTGCTCACCGTGCCACTGTCTTGTCCAACCATTGTATTTCAAATTATAACACACCTGCAACATTTGATCCGATCTTAGTAAAAATGATGAGTACTCTTCTTTTTTTTTTCGAATGCTATAATCATTCGAGTTCAAATTGTTAGATCAGCAAAAGTGACTTCTTAATTGAAATGACTGGAAAACGTTACATGCCTCGTAATAGGCCAACAACCCTGCTTCTCCAGTATACGTTCCAGCCGCTCCTGCTCCTACGGCGGGCGCTCCTACTCCTGTATTACTGGAACTAGAGAGGGTGAAGGATCTGCCATACAAACCCATTCCCAAAACCAGTTTTTCTGGAGGTGCACCGAGATTAATCCAGTAGTTCACCGCGTAATCCTGCGCAAATAATGAATGAAAGATGCAAGGCAAGTACATTCAAAAGATCTATTAGCGAGGAAATCATACCCGAACTGACAAACCTACCACATTCATATATGCAGCAGTTCCAACTTCACCGGCACGGCCAAATAGCGCACTGTGATGTCCGGTGGTTGCTTCCCAGCTTCCATGAAGATCGTAGCTCATTAGGTTGATGAAATCTAGCTCTCTGAAATACAGAAGAAGAAATAAAATAACTCATGAGTGCACTTGGCAAATCAGGCACCCGGCACAGCCAGAATGCAACTTACTTGGAGATGAGGTCAATTTCATAGGCTTTGTCGATTGTACTTTTGCCAGCTGCAACAGCTGCCGTCAGTAACAGAGGCGCGCGGTTGTTGGCTACACCATCAGCGTCAAACACTTGGCGAAGTTTCTGAAAGAGAAGACAGACATAGTGGGAGCCTTGTGGCAAGATCTGTGGACTTGATACAGCTGCCCTGGAACGGAAGTTTTTGTTATACTGACCTGCACAAAAGACGTGAAACGCTGTTTGTCCTCTGGAGGGCTTCCATTACCACCCGGATACTCCCAGTCCAGATCCAGACCGTCGAATCCGTAAGTTTTTAAGTAGGCCAAGGCGTTGTTTGCAAAAGCTGCCATGTCATTGGGGTCATCTACCACGGCAGTGAAGGGCGCGGTGCCGTGAGTCCATCCACCTATGGCCAGCAGGATCTTGAGGTCTGGGTTCACGGATCGCAGGTTCATTATCTTCTCGTATTGGCCTGCATTGAGAATAGTCCAACATGTGAGTACAAACGAATCCAAGCAAGGCACCAGTGTTTTTTTTGTCGCCTCGAGAGCTTGAATACCTGACACGTTACCAAAAATGATCTATATTCTACCTACAATGGCCTAGGTGACGTGTTACTTACCACCGGTGCCCTTGTCGTTCCACTCATAAGCATCGATTGTGTTGCCCACGACTTTACCGAAAGCGTACATGATATGAGTGCAGAGGAAAGGATCCACATCATCCGCTTTGAAGGTCATAGGAGCAGTTCTGTATTGTGCCCAGTTGGTGAAGTAACATACTCGTTTGTATCCCGACACTGCAGTGCTGGGAATGGTGGTAGGTAATCTAGTGGAGGAGGATGGCACAGTTTGAGAGGAGGAATGCAATGATGGTGGCAAAGGAGTGGAAGCTACAGGTGATCCAGACAGCTCACTTCGCAATAAGTTCATCAGAGGATACGCCCCATCGCCACAGCTGTTGCTGAAATCGTCTTGATCAAGAGACCAAACCATACCGCCACCCAGTCCTTTGGACTTGATGTAGTCAACCTTTCAACGAGAGAACGAGTGAAAATTATAGTCTAGACAGACCAGATTCATCAGTGGGATTGCAAGCTGTGTAACTGTATCGGAGCTTAGGCCTAGACACTTCTCCCCTTTAAGCTTACCTTTACTTGGAAACTCTCTGTGTCGTCATATCCAATCCACTGGGTACCGTGATACGCATACGGTACCTTGTGCTCACCGTGCCACTGTCTTGTCCAACCATTGTATTTCAAATTATAACACACCTGCAACATTTGATCCGATCTTAGTAAAAATGATGAGTACTCTTCTTTTTTTTTTCGAATGCTATAATCATTCGAGTTCAAATTGTTAGATCAGCAAAAGTGACTTCTTAATTGAAATGACTGGAAAACGTTACATGCCTCGTAATAGGCCAACAACCCTGCTTCTCCAGTATACGTTCCAGCCGCTCCTGCTCCTACGGCGGGCGCTCCTACTCCTGTATTACTTGAACTAGAGAGGGTGAAGGATCTGCCATACAAACCCATTCCCAAAACCAGTTTTTCTGGAGGTGCACCGAGATTAATCCAGTAGTTCACCGCGTAATCCTGCGCAAATAATGAATGAAAGATGCGAGGCAAGTACATTCAAAAGATCTATTAGCGAGGAAATCATACCCGAACTGACAAACCTACCACATTCATATATGCAGCAGTTCCAACTTCACCGGCACGGCCAAATAGCGCACTGTGATGTCCGGTGGTTGCTTCCCAGCTTCCATGAAGATCGTAGCTCATTAGGTTGATGAAATCTAGCTCTCTGAAATACAGAAGAAGAAATAAAATAACTCATGAGTGCACTTGGCAAATCAGGCACCCGGCACAGCCAGAATGCAACTTACTTGGAGATGAGGTCAATTTCATAGGCTTTGTCGATTGTACTTTTGCCAGCTGCAACAGCTGCCGTCAGTAACAGAGGCGCGCGGTTGTTGGCTACACCATCAGCGTCAAACACTTGGCGAAGTTTCTGAAAGAGAAGACAGACATAGTGGGAGCCTTGTGGCAAGATCTGTGGACTTGATACAGCTGCCCTGGAACGGAAGTTTTTGTTATACTGACCTGCACAAAAGACGTGAAACGCTGTTTGTCCTCTGGAGGGCTTCCATTACCACCCGGATACTCCCAGTCCAGATCCAGACCGTCGAATCCGTAAGTTTTTAAGTAGGCCAAGGCGTTGTTTGCAAAAGCTGCCATGTCATTGGGGTCATCTACCACGGCAGTGAAGGGCGCGGTGCCGTGAGTCCATCCACCTATGGCCAGCAGGATCTTGAGGTCTGGGTTCACGGATCGCAGGTTCATTATCTTCTCGTATTGGCCTGCATTGAGAATAGTCCAACATGTGAGTACAAACGAATCCAAGCAAGGCACCAGTGTTTTTTTTGTCGCCTCGAGAGCTTGAATACCTGACACGTTACCGAAAATGATCTATATTCTACCTACAATGGCCTAGGTGACGTGTTACTTACCACCGGTGCCCTTGTCGTTCCACTCATAAGCATCGATTGTGTTGCCCACGACTTTACCGAAAGCGTACATGATATGAGTGCAGAGGAAAGGATCCACATCATCCGCTTTGAAGGTCATAGGAGCAGTTCTGTATTGTGCCCAGTTGGTGAAGTAACATACTCGTTTGTATCCCGACACTGCAGTGCTGGGAATGGTGGTAGGTAATCTAGTGGAGGAGGATGGCACAGTTTGAGAGGAGGAATGCAATGATGGTGGCAAAGGAGTGGAAGCTACAGGTGATCCAGACAGCTCACTTCGCAATAAGTTCATCAGAGGATACGCCCCATCGCCACAGCTGTTGCTGAAATCGTCTTGATCAAGAGACCAAACCATACCGCCACCCAGTCCTTTGGACTTGATGTAGTCAACCTATCAACGAGAGGACGAGTGAAAATTATAGTCTAGACAGACCAGATTCATCAGTGGGATTGCAAGCTGTGTAACTGTATCGGAGCTTAGGCCTAGACACTTCTCCCCTTTAAGCTTACCTTTACTTGGAAACTCTCTGTGTCGTCATATCCAATCCACTGGGTACCGTGATACGCATACGGTACCTTGTGCTCACCGTGCCACTGTCTTGTCCAACCATTGTATTTCAAATTATAACACACCTGCAACATTTGATCCGATCTTAGTAAAAATGATGAGTACTCTTCTTTTTTTTTTCGAATGCTATAATCATTCGAGTTCAAATTGTTAGATCAGCAAAAGTGACTTCTTAATTGAAATGACTGGAAAACGTTACATGCCTCGTAATAGGCCAACAACCCTGCTTCTCCAGTATACGTTCCAGCCGCTCCTGCTCCTACGGCGGGCGCTCCTACTCCTGTATTACTGGAACTAGAGAGGGTGAAGGATCTGCCATACAAACCCATTCCCAAAACCAGTTTTTCTGGAGGTGCACCGAGATTAATCCAGTAGTTCACCGCGTAATCCTGCGCAAATAATGAATGAAAGATGCGAGGCAAGTACATTCAAAAGATCTATTAGCGAGGAAATCATACCCGAACTGACAAACCTACCACATTCATATATGCAGCAGTTCCAACTTCACCGGCACGGCCAAATAGCGCACTGTGATGTCCGGTGGTTGCTTCCCAGCTTCCATGAAGATCGTAGCTCATTAGGTTGATGAAATCTAGCTCTCTGAAATACAGAAGAAGAAATAAAATAACTCATGAGTGCACTTGGCAAATCAGGCACCCGGCACAGCCAGAATGCAACTTACTTGGAGATGAGGTCAATTTCATAGGCTTTGTCGATTGTACTTTTGCCAGCTGCAACAGCTGCCGTCAGTAACAGAGGCGCGCGGTTGTTGGCTACACCATCAGCGTCAAACACTTGGCGAAGTTTCTGAAAGAGAAGACAGACATAGTGGGAGCCTTGTGGCAAGATCTGTGGACTTGATACAGCTGCCCTGGAACGGAAGTTTTTGTTATACTGACCTGCACAAAAGACGTGAAACGCTGTTTGTCCTCTGGAGGGCTTCCATTACCACCCGGATACTCCCAGTCCAGATCCAGACCGTCGAATCCGTAAGTTTTTAAGTAGGCCAAGGCGTTGTTTGCAAAAGCTGCCATGTCATTGGGGTCATCTACCACGGCAGTGAAGGGCGCGGTGCCGTGAGTCCATCCACCTATGGCCAGCAGGATCTTGAGGTCTGGGTTCACGGATCGCAGGTTCATTATCTTCTCGTATTGGCCTGCATTGAGAATAGTCCAACATGTGAGTACAAACGAATCCAAGCAAGGCACCAGTGTTTTTTTTGTCGCCTCGAGAGCTTGAATACCTGACACGTTACCGAAAATGATCTATATTCTACCTACAATGGCCTAGGTGACGTGTTACTTACCACCGGTGCCCTTGTCGTTCCACTCATAAGCATCGATTGTGTTGCCCACGACTTTACCGAAAGCGTACATGATATGAGTGCAGAGGAAAGGATCCACATCATCCGCTTTGAAGGTCATAGGAGCAGTTCTGTATTGTGCCCAGTTGGTGAAGTAACATACTCGTTTGTATCCCGACACTGCAGTGCTGGGAATGGTGGTAGGTAATCTAGTGGAGGAGGATGGCACAGTTTGAGAGGAGGAATGCAATGATGGTGGCAAAGGAGTGGAAGCTACAGGTGATCCAGACAGCTCACTTCGCAATAAGTTCATCAGAGGATACGCCCCATCGCCACAGCTGTTGCTGAAATCGTCTTGATCAAGAGACCAAACCATACCGCCACCCAGTCCTTTGGACTTGATGTAGTCAACCTATCAACGAGAGGACGAGTGAAAATTATAGTCTAGACAGACCAGATTCATCAGTGGGATTGCAAGCTGTGTAACTGTATCGGAGCTTAGGCCTAGACACTTCTCCCCTTTAAGCTTACCTTTACTTGGAAACTCTCTGTGTCGTCATATCCAATCCACTGGGTACCGTGATACGCATACGGTACCTTGTGCTCACCGTGCCACTGTCTTGTCCAACCATTGTATTTCAAATTATAACACACCTGCAACATTTGATCCGATCTTAGTAAAAATGATGAGTACTCTTCTTTTTTTTTTCGAATGCTATAATCATTCGAGTTCAAATTGTTAGATCAGCAAAAGTGACTTCTTAATTGAAATGACTGGAAAACGTTACATGCCTCGTAATAGGCCAACAACCCTGCTTCTCCAGTATACGTTCCAGCCGCTCCTGCTCCTACGGCGGGCGCTCCTACTCCTGTATTACTGGAACTAGAGAGGGTGAAGGATCTGCCATACAAACCCATTCCCAAAACCAGTTTTTCTGGAGGTGCACCGAGATTAATCCAGTAGTTCACCGCGTAATCCTGCGCAAATAATGAATGAAAGATGCAAGGCAAGTACATTCAAAAGATCTATTAGCGAGGAAATCATACCCGAACTGACAAACCTACCACATTCATATATGCAGCAGTTCCAACTTCACCGGCACGGCCAAATAGCGCACTGTGATGTCCGGTGGTTGCTTCCCAGCTTCCATGAAGATCGTAGCTCATTAGGTTGATGAAATCTAGCTCTCTGAAATACAGAAGAAGAAATAAAATAACTCATGAGTGCACTTGGCAAATCAGGCACCCGGCACAGCCAGAATGCAACTTACTTGGAGATGAGGTCAATTTCATAGGCTTTGTCGATTGTACTTTTGCCAGCTGCAACAGCTGCCGTCAGTAACAGAGGCGCGCGGTTGTTGGCTACACCATCAGCGTCAAACACTTGGCGAAGTTTCTGAAAGAGAAGACAGACATAGTGGGAGCCTTGTGGCAAGATCTGTGGACTTGATACAGCTGCCCTGGAACGGAAGTTTTTGTTATACTGACCTGCACAAAAGACGTGAAACGCTGTTTGTCCTCTGGAGGGCTTCCATTACCACCCGGATACTCCCAGTCCAGATCCAGACCGTCGAATCCGTAAGTTTTTAAGTAGGCCAAGGCGTTGTTTGCAAAAGCTGCCATGTCATTGGGGTCATCTACCACGGCAGTGAAGGGCGCGGTGCCGTGAGTCCATCCACCTATGGCCAGCAGGATCTTGAGGTCTGGGTTCACGGATCGCAGGTTCATTATCTTCTCGTATTGGCCTGCATTGAGAATAGTCCAACATGTGAGTACAAACGAATCCAAGCAAGGCACCAGTGTTTTTTTTGTCGCCTCGAGAGCTTGAATACCTGACACGTTACCAAAAATGATCTATATTCTACCTACAATGGCCTAGGTGACGTGTTACTTACCACCGGTGCCCTTGTCGTTCCACTCATAAGCATCGATTGTGTTGCCCACGACTTTACCGAAAGCGTACATGATATGAGTGCAGAGGAAAGGATCCACATCATCCGCTTTGAAGGTCATAGGAGCAGTTCTGTATTGTGCCCAGTTGGTGAAGTAACATACTCGTTTGTATCCCGACACTGCAGTGCTGGGAATGGTGGTAGGTAATCTAGTGGAGGAGGATGGCACAGTTTGAGAGGAGGAATGCAATGATGGTGGCAAAGGAGTGGAAGCTACAGGTGATCCAGACAGCTCACTTCGCAATAAGTTCATCAGAGGATACGCCCCATCGCCACAGCTGTTGCTGAAATCGTCTTGATCAAGAGACCAAACCATACCGCCACCCAGTCCTTTGGACTTGATGTAGTCAACCTTTCAACGAGAGAACGAGTGAAAATTATAGTCTAGACAGACCAGATTCATCAGTGGGATTGCAAGCTGTGTAACTGTATCGGAGCTTAGGCCTAGACACTTCTCCCCTTTAAGCTTACCTTTACTTGGAAACTCTCTGTGTCGTCATATCCAATCCACTGGGTACCGTGATACGCATACGGTACCTTGTGCTCACCGTGCCACTGTCTTGTCCAACCATTGTATTTCAAATTATAACACACCTGCAACATTTGATCCGATCTTAGTAAAAATGATGAGTACTCTTCTTTTTTTTTTCGAATGCTATAATCATTCGAGTTCAAATTGTTAGATCAGCAAAAGTGACTTCTTAATTGAAATGACTGGAAAACGTTACATGCCTCGTAATAGGCCAACAACCCTGCTTCTCCAGTATACGTTCCAGCCGCTCCTGCTCCTACGGCGGGCGCTCCTACTCCTGTATTACTTGAACTAGAGAGGGTGAAGGATCTGCCATACAAACCCATTCCCAAAACCAGTTTTTCTGGAGGTGCACCGAGATTAATCCAGTAGTTCACCGCGTAATCCTGCGCAAATAATGAATGAAAGATGCGAGGCAAGTACATTCAAAAGATCTATTAGCGAGGAAATCATACCCGAACTGACAAACCTACCACATTCATATATGCAGCAGTTCCAACTTCACCGGCACGGCCAAATAGCGCACTGTGATGTCCGGTGGTTGCTTCCCAGCTTCCATGAAGATCGTAGCTCATTAGGTTGATGAAATCTAGCTCTCTGAAATACAGAAGAAGAAATAAAATAACTCATGAGTGCACTTGGCAAATCAGGCACCCGGCACAGCCAGAATGCAACTTACTTGGAGATGAGGTCAATTTCATAGGCTTTGTCGATTGTACTTTTGCCAGCTGCAACAGCTGCCGTCAGTAACAGAGGCGCGCGGTTGTTGGCTACACCATCAGCGTCAAACACTTGGCGAAGTTTCTGAAAGAGAAGACAGACATAGTGGGAGCCTTGTGGCAAGATCTGTGGACTTGATACAGCTGCCCTGGAACGGAAGTTTTTGTTATACTGACCTGCACAAAAGACGTGAAACGCTGTTTGTCCTCTGGAGGGCTTCCATTACCACCCGGATACTCCCAGTCCAGATCCAGACCGTCGAATCCGTAAGTTTTTAAGTAGGCCAAGGCGTTGTTTGCAAAAGCTGCCATGTCATTGGGGTCATCTACCACGGCAGTGAAGGGCGCGGTGCCGTGAGTCCATCCACCTATGGCCAGCAGGATCTTGAGGTCTGGGTTCACGGATCGCAGGTTCATTATCTTCTCGTATTGGCCTGCATTGAGAATAGTCCAACATGTGAGTACAAACGAATCCAAGCAAGGCATCAGTGTTTTTTTTGTCGCCTCGAGAGCTTGAATACCTGACACGTTACCGAAAATGATCTATATTCTACCTACAATGGCCTAGGTGACGTGTTACTTACCACCGGTGCCCTTGTCGTTCCACTCATAAGCATCGATTGTGTTGCCCACGACTTTACCGAAAGCGTACATGATATGAGTGCAGAGGAAAGGATCCACATCATCCGCTTTGAAGGTCATAGGAGCAGTTCTGTATTGTGCCCAGTTGGTGAAGTAGCATACTCGTTTATATGGTTGTACGACTGAATTGAAAATGTATAAAATTTTTATGTACAAATACCTCCTCATGAACGGAATTCATATTTAAGGATCATTAGGTAGTACTCTCTTACTTGGTGATTTCAGACATTAATCTTTTAGAAAAAAGAAATGATTGTGTACCTCTAAATATGATGACTATTAATCCTAAGACCGCCACCTTCTTCTGTTGAAAAGAAATCTTAATTTAATTGCATATATGTATTTTTTTCCAGACATGTTTGCTAGAGTGTGTTGAAAAGAAAACATTGCAGATAATTTCTGTGTACCTCAAATTAAAGAAAATGTTTTACAGTCTCCTTGATACAAGAGAGAAGTTTTATTAAGATAAATCTACTTTCACGTTGGGCAGATTTTAATCTATCTAAATCATAATCTTAGAAATGGGACCACAGTTTAAGTTAAAAGTTTACATATGAATAAACAAAATAAAAATAACATCTTTTTTCAATTGGATCGATGTCATCACGACCACCTTTCTCGTGATCCTCACCCTTAACCTGAGGGTTGGGTTGAAGGAGCAGAAAAGGGATCTAAGAATTAAACAGAAATATGCTGACATCCAAATAAAAAAAGACTACAATTTTTCAAACATATAGACAGTATGTTGTCCTTAATACAGGTTACATAAAGGGATAGAAAGAGACAGACATGCATTTTTTAAAGTGAGCATTAAGGTCCACATCTCTCTTTTTTTACGTATCATATATTTCTATAGCCGGTTACCATAAATTAAGTTTAATATCGAGACAAAATAAGTGAATTGTATATTAAAAAACAACGTGAATTCGTCTTAGAATATAGATTGTATAGATCCCAAACAAAGAATTACTATAGTTAACTATAGATATTATACTTAACTACGATGCATTATAGATAGATCTCATAGATATTATAGTTAGCTACTACTAATACTTAGATTTGTTCCCCTAATAGGACTTCATTGTCTATCATTAAGAATCCGTTACATATAAAATATAGCCGTATTAATTTAAAGTATTTTGGGGAAGAAGAGTATTACCAAAATATTTTTTTAAAGTAATTTAGTAAGTAGTAATTAATCAAAGAAGAATACGTTGAAATCTATAGGATAAACAAATTCTTTAAAAATAAAAATATAAATACTAGGAATATCAATAAATGCTATGGTGGATAGATGCCTTTAATCATTAGGATTAGAATAAAGCTTGAAAATGATATTTTTCCAGATTTCCGGATTTATTAAAATGGATGTAAGTCTTATACGGTACCAATTTTGATGCACCAGATGCGACAAATTATGTCTCTTCAGTGATGCTCATGCCGAAACGTTGAAAATCCGTAAAATTCAAATAATAAAAAAAAACTTGAAAGAGCTGAAAAAAGGGGGTGCCAAAGACTGGAGCCAATTACGTTGAAGGATCACAGCTATGCATGAGGGAGAAAATCCTTAATTTTGAAATTATTTTTTTTATTTTTTTTTTCACAGAAATTACTGAAACTGATTTTATGTTTAAATGCCTATTTTTACATAAACGTATTCAATGGCAATAAAACTGTAAGATATTTATATATGATATATACGTATACAAATGTACATTGTAGAGTCATTATTAAAATAAAGCATGAAAGTCTCTAAAGAAGTAAGTTTTTAAGTTGTTTTTGAAATCATCAATAGATTTTGATTGCTTAATATGCAAAAGTGTCCACAAATTTGGTCCGCTGGTACTAAAACTGAAAGTTTTTCTTTTATGCAATTTTTTATTTGAAGTTTGTTTTGGCAAAAGTTAAGTTAAATATTCTCGTGCTTGGCCCACTGAACAGTTATACATAAATGTCAGAATTTTCACTGATATCTTAGATTTTATAACTAGCCAGTTGAGATCAAAGAGAGCTCCTTTCGAACTGTCAAATTCTCTCCTATTTAATACAAACTTGGCACATATATTCTGAATTTCGCATTGTGCTGTACTAAAAAAAATAACATTGCAATGGTCTAAATATTAAATAACTAATGATAAAACCAAAATTTCCGTAGGTTCCTTTGTTCAATATTTTCGAACACATTTAATCCTTAGATAATTTAACATTGTTGTACGACATTTCCTGTTTACATGTTCTTTGAAATTTAGGTTTTCATCTAAAAACGCACTCAAGTTTTGTATACATTTTACGGATTTGATTTCATTTTCATTAGTTTTTATACGGTATATTATAATATATTTATTATAAATTAAATATATATCCGTATTTTCAAGGTAGTAACAAAGTACTTAGCTACTGCGAAGTAGCTTCTTGATTCAACTCCAAGGAGATAACTCTTCAAGAACAGGTTAAGGTCATTCATTAGGACACATTCTATTCTTACATTCTAATAGTAAAATATTGAATTTATTTCTAAATATATTGAGTATACAATCCATATATATCCTTACATATCTGTTGTTCATTCAATTTTATTGAATCTGAGCTCAAGGCTGTTACGGGTGGAATACATTAATTAACTATGAAACTTTACCCCAAAAGTTTATTCGAAAAAAATCCATACCAATTATGTAAATTTTGGAAACTCAATGGGAATACACATTTTATATTTCCTTTAAATATCAGACGTAAGCGTGAAAGAATATGAATGAGAAAATGAAAATTAACAATTTGAATTTCGTTGGAAAATACTTTGATTTAGTACAGTTAAAACTATATAAGGATATCATAGCTAACTATAGTAAACTTTTGTTTACTAAAGTATTTTGTTAGGGTATGTTCTTACTATTCTAGTGGTAACTGTTCATTCAAATCTTGAAGCTTTTTTTTTTTATTTCAATTTTTTTAAGCTTAAGGTCCTTATAACCACGTAAAGAAATACTTGGGCTTTCTTCCCAGTTACAGCTCCTTATGTTCAGTAGATCACAAGATAGCATTTACAATATCATTTGTTTCATTATGTTCTTATATGATAAATTTAGTATGTAATTACTAACTTAATATAATAATGAGTTTTGTTAACAAGAATTACCAATAAAGATTTGCTTAAAAGCCAGATTTATTGTACATGCTGCTATATAGTTCAACTGAGTAGTGGGAAATTGTGAGATCTTTTATATAATCAATCAAGAATATTTAAATCAAGAGTTTGAAGGATTTGTAAATTAATGACATTTTGAATGTTCATGTCATGTTTTCAATTCCAAATATGAAGAAAAACATTGAAAAGGAAGATGAGACTTGCAGAGAAATACAAGCAGTTCACTCCTTCATGTCATGTTTAGTTTTATAACATCAATCATCTTAGCATGTGTTTATCATAAACATATCATGTCGGGGAAAGTGGCTATACTAAAAACTACCAATGAAAAACACTTAACATGAACTTCTCTTTGCTTAACACTTAATCGAGGACAATCTGAGAACAAATAAGTAAAAAGTTTTCTCGCCTAAAGTGATAAAATCTATATAAACAATTTTGTATTCAATTGATAATTCACACAAAAATTCACCTATTTCATTGGAAGTAACGGAACAAGACGCTATGACATGCTGAAAACTTTTTGTAAACGGATTCGAACGTATAATGAACTGATACGTATCTTTCTTCGATACTAGAGTCCACATGTTTGCAATGTACTCTACTTGCATTTCTTTTGTTGAGAGTAATTATGTCCATAGTGAGACCTTATGTACAGTTGTATGAAGTAACTTGAAGTCATCGAAATCTGGATCAGAATGACTTAAATCTTTCCATGAAGAATTGTAGTAGGAATTTAATGGCTTGTTTTACAACTCCTAACCCTAACCCCTATCCCTGACTTTTACTTTCACCTAATCCTTTAATCCCCATTGACCTAAATGTTCACTTAAATCCATGTTCATTTTTGTTTTTATCCTGTACCCTACTCCTAACCCTAACCCAAACACTTGTTATACAATGTTCTTCAAAATATATTTGGGTGGAAACTGGCATTAGCTATGTTAGTGTGAAGGAATCTTCTTAAGGAGTATTTCCGAATAATGAATACGAATTTTGATGTTTGGTTGTAGTTAAAGTATTTGAACATCTGTATGGTAAAAACTGGTTTCGAAAGGTGATCACAATCAATGCAGCAAAACTCTCCAAAGAAATAAAGTTTTTTTTTTTGCCAATTTCAGTCTGTATTGGTTTTATTCCGAGCATACGTTCGCAAATAGCCGACCTAGTTGATATTTGGAATTTTTTTTATGTCTTTTACAATAAAATATTGAAATCTATTCAAAATATTCCAGTTAGTCTTTTGTTTTCAATTTTTTCCATAATTCACAACTGAATAATACTGAAGGCAAGACAATTTTCTTATAAAATATTTACTAACATTCTGGGGTTATTTGAGCATATTTACATTTATTCCAAAGTAGGATTTCCTTTCTTTTTCAAAGGTACGGGTAGTGTTTGGTAAAGACTAACTCGATTCTGGTATGATTTTGTCACCAACATGCAATATTTTTTTGCAATATATCTAAATATTAGAATATTTGATTTTTCTGCACTAAAAGAGAAACGCCATTTACAAGAATATTCATAGGTAACACTAAGTAACATCTGAAGACCTGCAGGTGTCAAACAAAGCTTAGCAGGTCATTTATAAAAACAGAATACAAAAAACCTGATAACTGCCCCTCCCCCTTGTTGTACTCCTTGTTCTACACAAAACCTTTGACACATATCCATTAATAATAGCACTATGTGTATCTATACGACAAACTTCTATGATGGACCATAATTTACAGTTGATCCCTAATTTATACAACTTAACCATCTAACCCTTTCTCTACAAGGAGTCGAAACTTTCAATAGACTGTCCAAAAAAAGCAGTATATACATTGTTTTTGCTTTCTATATTGTAGTATATATTTTCTTGCAATGCAAATGATGCTGTAGTGCAACTTAAACTTTTTTGGTAGCCATCCTGTTGAACATTGGGAAAATGTTAATTACAAAGAATAAATGATTGTTTTCGATCGTGGATATTTATTTTTTCAAACACCTTGAAAATTTTACATAACAGTTCACATATCGTTCTATAACTATGAGGGCTGTTTTTGTTTGTTGTCACCTTTATGCATAGTTACAGTGATATTCTCCACACTATTACGGTACGTATTTAAGCTCTAAAACAGCATTGAATATATTGCAAATAATTGTGCTGCTTGCTTCCAACGGTTTTAATATGCTCTGCTTGAATGAAGTCTACTACTGGGGTTTTCTGTGTTTTTTTTTTTAGCGATGAGACGGTTTCTCAGACTTCAGAACTCAATATAGGGCCTCCTGGTACGATGCCATTTGCGATGAATGCTTTCATTTGTTCATATTCATGTTGTGTAGTTCTGCAGAAAATTTCGTCAAATTGATTGTTGATAGATCTCCTAAAGATAGTTAGCAAAAACTTCCTACGGGGTTTCTGTGTCTAATTACAGGGTATATTTTATCTTTCTTTGGTCTTTGCTGATTAATTAAGTACCAGAATAATCATACGACACATGCTGCAGCATCGTCATTGTCTTTATTTCCACCATCAATGTTTCATACGCGCTGTTGAGGGTATTTTTGATTTCACGCTTAGCTTATTTAGGATGCGTTTTCCTTTTCTCGTAGCCTTCCATAGCGACCTTTCATAATTTCTTATCTGATGTTCTTTCTGATGGGAACCATGTCTTGGTCCAACGAGGATATTTGGAACTCACTTAGCTGTCCAGAAAAGCCTATGACTCCTCCTTTGAAGAATATTTATTTGGAAGATCCAGTGACGATTTGACGTCTGAATAAAGTGAATAAAACGTAGGGTACCAGCATTCACTAAAACGTATGATGGGAATGAAGCATTAAAAATAATGAATATGATTTAGATGCCCTAATGGACACTTTAAATAAGAAATTATTACCATCTTTTCTCGACTTGTGAACTCTGGCGATCTATATTTTTCTGCAACTATTGTAAGGAATTATTCTTATCTGGTTTCTGACTAAATGAAAAGTTTAAAGTATATTTGCTGAAATGCCTTTTATATAAAGTTGTTTGGGAATTCAAAGATTTTCTGACGTTAATGAAATTAATGATTGGAGACTTGTTTTAGAATATGTAAAATAAATATAATTTTCTAAACAAATTACAATGTTTTAGTCCTTAGCTTTTGAAAAGTAACAACATGTACTTAAAACAGATTTTGAATAGTGAGAATCAGCTTAAACTTTTTCTGTCTTATCTAATAGTCAATTTATTTGTATTTGTATCATTTTGCTTCTTTATATTACTACTTTACCATATATAAAAATGAGAAAATTTTCAATACATGTACACATAGCATATACAGTTTAATAACATTCCCAAAAATGAAGGTAAAAAGAGGAAATTCGGATTATAAAATATTTATTTTCAATTAATTATCTGCCTCAGCTTGGTAATGAAATATGGAGATAACAAACAGTATTCAAGCTCGAAGTCCATCAAAACAATACAAATCGGGAGCAGAATAAACACGGACCTAAAAAAACATTATAGGTGGGATCAGGTGCCATGAAGGAGTGAGCATCCCCTGCCGACTGGTTACACCCGCCGTGTGCTCCTTGTCATGATCGGTAAATAACAGAATAATCCATCGATAATTCAGTGTGTAAATAATGATCTAACAATTCGTATGAAAAACGCCGTCAGCAAATGACTTAATGATAGATTGTATTTGCTGACAAGGTCATTGTATCGACCATAGAACTTACAAAATGATAACATTAAACGAGGCTGTTGATATTCTTGTTGATAACATCTGATGGACTTTATGTGGTATTATCTTTTTATGCGAAAAATGAAACATTTCATCTTTTTTGAAATAGAAGTAGGCATTGGATATCTAGCAACAGTAATGTTTAGTTCTTGATAACAATGGAAAAGATAATAACCTTGACCTGACCTTGTTACTAAAATGCGACGATCAAATTAAACTAATTGACACCATGACTTAGTGATATTTCCATCTTGCATCTTTGAGACTTTCATTAATTATGCCCCCGTAATCGAGGATGAATTGAAGAAAAAGGGTATATAATTTTTGCCTTGTCCGTCCGTCTGTCTGTCTGTTTTTCTGCAAAAACTTTAACATTACCCATAACTTTTGATTTGTTGGAGCTATTTCTTTCATATTTCAAATGTGTATTTCTTTTAACTAGACCTTTTTTTGGGTACCATCATATTTGACCTTTTGACCTTGGAGTTGGACCCAGTTTTGCAAAATTTTAACTTTAACCTTGGCCATAACTTTTGACCAATTGGTGCTATGGCTTTCATTCTTCACATGTGTAATCCTTTTGACAAGACCTTACTTTGACCCTCACCTAGGAGTTTGACCTACTTTTGAAAAACTTTAACATTGACAATAACTTTTGATTAGTTGGATATATGGCTTTCATACTTCACACATGTAATTCTTGTGACAAAACCTTCCTTTGGATACCAACAACTTTGACCCTTTGACCTTGACCTTGGAGTTTGACCTACTTTTGAAAAATTTTAACCTTGGCCATTACTTTTGAACGTTGTTCTAGGGCTTTCATATTTCACGTGTATATTTCTTTTGAGAAGGCCTCTTCTGGGGCACCATTAATTTTGACCATTTGACTTGCCTTGATGTTTGACTTACTTTTGAAAAACTTTAACTTTCTCCGTATCTATTCAATGGTTGCTGCGGGGGCTTTCATATTTCACTGGCATATTTCTAGAGACAAGACCTTACTTTGGGTACCAACATATTTGATTTGCATTTGAGAAATTTTAGCCTTCGCTATAAGTTGCCATAACGGGGGTATCAGTGTTTCACAAATACATCTTGTTAATACCTGTAGATAACAGTAATCTTATTTTCCACTCCAACTACATATATCTGAATTCTAGATCTTACAGTGAGAAATATCATTGTACTTAATAATTGGACTATTTCTAATTTGAAAATAACAAAGGGATGCTTACATTTTTCATTGTATATCGATTAATGAAAGATTGTTCGCAATGAGCGAGGGAAATGTACATATACACATACAATGTGTTTGCAATGAAAGATTGAAGGTCATGGTCCTCTGGATTAATATTTACGACAATACTTTGAATCCTTGACTTTTTGATTTTGTTCGCAGAGAGATGATTCCAATTTGTCTCAGTATTCAGAAAACTACCATTGAAATCGTGGATATCTGAATGATTCTTCATTGCTTTAGACTCGCGAGATTTTTAATTATTAAAATTATATCGATTAAATGGAATAGATTAAATAAGTTTTATTTTACAATAACTATTATGCAATCTTTTTACGATATGTGTGATTCTGTGTATTTTATATTTTGCGAGAGCTAGACCTATATTTCTTATTATGAAACTGTTACAAACATTTGATCCCAAAGCCATTGAACTGGGATAAACAGAATTACTAAAAGCACAGTCTCCTTTCAGTTGAAGGCAGTCCCCCTGACTGCCATACATACAAATCCAGAAGAAAGTCTAGGCAAACTATTAGTGTTTTCGTTTTTATTTAAGTAAATGTACAAGGTTTGTTACTTAGATTTCAACAATAACATTAACAAAATACTTTTGATATCTCTCACCATTCGTGGATTTATTTATTTTCTAATATTTAAAAAAGTTGTTTGTTCGCAAATGACACAATCGTCCGCTTAAAATTTTAAATAAATGTTGATTGAGGGAAATTTTGACGGTAAATAGTAAAGAGTATTTAAAATTTAAGGTACAGTGTATTTAATTAAAGTTTCACCAGCATAGTTCTTTTTTTAATGTTGGAATACATCTTAGGTAAATTGTAAAGTAACATCGTCTCTCTAAAACCTTGTGAAAAACATTCATGTTTCATTTGTTATATTTATTTTAAATGTTATGTGCATTTTTGGCTCTGTAAGCACAGTGACGTAGCAGTCAATATATAATGTTTACACTGATTCTTTTTTTTTTCTTTTTAATTTTTCTTTCTTATCGATATACCTGTGACAGTTATTTTCTAAAAATAAAAAACTTTATTACACAGTACTTCACAATTCCCCATACTTTTTCTGAAAGCACATTCTTATTCAATCTGCATTCATTCAATGAAAAAAATATTCAAAGACAAAATATATATATATTTTTTTATGAATACTATTTAATATATATATATATATATATATATATATATATATATATATATATATATATATATATATATATATATATATATATATATATATATATATATATATATATATATATATATATATATATATAAAATGAAAAAAATGATTTATATTAAATGTAATTGCATATTTGATGCATTAAAAAGTAAAAGACTCACCATGGCGGCTATGGTCATCTGCTACAATGACCAGGCATGCGTCATTCTGAATTATATTGAATATGTTTAAAAGGATTGGTACTCTGTTTAACTGTAAACACACAGTGGACTAAATAGGAAGGTTCTGTGCTTTGACAAGAAATTTTAATTATTACTTTAAATGGTTATCAAATCTAAATGTTTAAAAATACGTATTTTCAGAATGTGTCTTTTCCAGATCATTAAGTAATAAGTACAGATATCCTTAAACAGAACAGAGAGGCTCAGCTCTGGTGACGTATGAACATATTCTGGCAAACTTTTTACATACAAATACTTTTATTCAAAACTCTCTATTCGGTTGATTTATTCACAAAAATTAAGTCTTATGACTTTAAAATCAAAAACAATTTTAATGTGTCAAAAGTTAAAGAAAGGAATGGAGCAAAGTAAATTGATACGCTTTGTAAATAATCTTGCGATTTAGACCAATAATGGTAAAAATGAATTTTTGCATTGCTTTTAACAGGAAAAAGTTATATTTGTGCTTACTGATAAAGATAATTATAAATCTAACGTTATATGTATTAATTGAGAATCTTTTACCATATATATGTTTATATTTGGATATTTACAATTTAGTTCATGTATTTGAATATAGTTTGTAAATTTACAGTAATATTATGATATTGCAACTGGCCTAATTTGTAGACGCAACGTTTGACCAGTATTTCATGTTATAAACATTTGGAGTTCCACAAAGAAATAGCAGTCAATGAACGATCAGGTAAACGCATTTAGGAGATATGCTAAATAACTATATCATTTACTTTACATGCGTCAAACATTTAAATGTACATAACATGAATCTTTCACATGAATTTCTGATTTTGTGGTTCCTATCATAAAGATATCATTTATTTTATAATATTGTATTATTCGTTCTCTGCTCGATAGTAACATAAAAGCAATCCTATTTCAAAGAGTACATGTATGTGAAAATGATCACACGGAAATGCAACATGTTTAGGGGGCTTGTTTGCTTTTATACTTAATTAAGATTAAGTAAAAAAAAAAAGATTGAAAATTTACGCACCTTCCTTTAACTACCGCCCCCCCCCCCCCCCCCTCAAAAAAATGTTTAAAAACAGGGTCAGAATTATACGGAAGCCCATTTAGGACCTATCAAAAATATTTTTGAATTCGATAATACAGATTAGCGAATTTGTTATAACGAATTTAATTCATTATAACAATTTCTTTGAATTCGTTGTAACGAATTTAATCTGTTATAACAAATTTGTAAAACAAATTCAAAAATTTGTTGTAACGAATAAAACTCGTTTTAACGAATTCTAAAACTTGTTATAATGAATTAAATTCGTTGAAACGAATTTTTTAATCTGTTATAACGAATTAAATTCGTTAAAACGAATTTGACAATTAGTTATATCGAATTTATATATATATATATATATATATATATATATATATATATATATATATATATATATATATATATATATATATATTTCTTTAAGCTTGGATTATTGAATTTGATTAATCAATTTTAATTCGTTAAAACGAATTTTAACATTTGTTTTAAACAAATTCAATTTATTATAACAAATTTAAGAGTTCGATTAAACGAATTTAATCTGTTTTATCAAATTTTAAAATTCGTTTTAAAGAATTCAATAAATCTGTTATAACAAATTTAATTCGTTATTACGAATTCAAAAAATTTTTATAACGAATATAATTCGTTAGAACAAATTCGACAATTCGTTATATCGAATTCAAAAATATTTTTGATAGGTCCTTAATGGGGTTTCGTAGAATTAACATTTAATTTCATAAACATCAATGTTAGTCCTGTTCTATGATTTTAATTTTGAAGATGATAAATTTAAACTGCAATTTACAATTTTTAGAAACTTATCGTTTTCTTATAATAGTGCCTAATAATAATATTTTTTATTAAATCACTTCACCGCTGATGCATAAAAAGTTTATCCTGCTTTCTGAATTGCACATCGTATGACCTTTTAAATCACAATGTTTGTGAAACCATTCATCGACTAATTCTAGTCGCGAAATTTCATTTAAAACTTTCATTTAATTTTAAATTCACCACACAAAGTATTACTCCTTTTAGAATAATGTGCAGAATTTAACGCTTTTAACCTCATGGAATGAGTTATTTTTTGCTGCTTTGATATATGTATTTCTAAGTTAATTAATTATCATGAATTCTTAAGTATAATTTTCTGAGTATCAACTATGATCTATTAACAACAAGTATAGACATTATCATGATTACATCAATGGAAGATATCGTGTTAAATGTTTCGATATCGATCTTTGAATACTAATAGAGGTCAGACAGACATGAATACTAATAGAGGTCAGACAGACATGAATACGTATGGTGATATCTGTGATTCTTTGAAAACTTATAGTTGTTTGAGAGACACGAAAACATATACTGATATTTGTGATTTCAGTGTCAATGTCTTTGAATACAGATAGATGTCTGGCGCCTTTTTCTTAACCTCTCTTGTGTCATATCTCACACAGTTTTCTTTTTTCATATATTCTTATCACAAAGTTTTGATTCATAAAAATCATTAAAGTTTATCATAAATGCGGCATGCATTAGTTTGATCAGTATAAAATAATGACAGTGTTGCAGGGTTTAATCCAGTGTAAAATACTGTTACCTGTTTAGTTTTCCATTCATACAAAGCTTTGCAAGTTCTAATTTCAGGTCCGTGGGAAGCAATTTCACTTGGATGTGAAACATTTTCAGTTTGAGAGCCCTGGGCACTACCAAGCAAAATTTCCTTGCAAAAAAAGGTCATTACTGAGGGGGTTCAAGCATAAAGTAGAGATGTTTTCTATAGTATACAATATATTTCCGAAAAATTGGGGGGGGGGGGCAACCACGTGCCCTACCGGTTCCTATGGCCACGAATTTTTACAGTTTTTGCCATAAGCCTAGAATAAATGATCCGTAAAAATCTCCTCACAATGCTTTATTATACTTCACATAAATCGAAGTCTTTTTTTAAAAGAAATCTTAAATCAAGTAAAAACTTAAATCATTGTAAACAGTTGATACCAGGTGGGCTTATCAACAGTTTAATCAGTAATTCTTGAGCCATGACTGATGCTTATCTGTAGGTTGACATCATTGAACTTGCTTATAGTTGCATTGAATATAATGAAATATGGAGATAACGAACATCATTTATAGTCCATTTAAACAATACAAACCGGAAGCAGAGCACACACGGACCTCCAAAAACATCAAAGGCGGGATCAGGTGCCAAGGAGGTGTAAGCATCCCCTGTCGATCAGTCACACCCTGCGTGTGTTCCTTGTCATGATCGGGTAAACGGAAAAATTTCAGTGTGTCAATTTGTATGAAAAACGTCAGTCATCATTTGACCTAATTATACTAGTAGATTATATTTGCTGACAATGTCTTTGTGTAGCCCATAGAACTTGCAAAATGATGACTTCAGACGAGACTGTTGTTTCATCATTGTTGGTTAATAATTTACCTGGTTTTAGAAATTAATCATACATAGAGCATAATCTTGCGTATCGAATCAGCTGGGAGAAATAAACCCCACATGCAGGTGATAAGGGTATATTGCTACATAAGTTAGGGAAGTTGACGATAGAAAAGTTGAAGTCAGCACATTTATCATAAAAAATTTGTTGTTAGGTTACCATTAACGTCTTTTTCTAGTAATATAACATAATATTTCATTCGATTATCTTCATTATTCTCATAATTCATACTTAAATTAAAGCATAGTCAATACATAAAATCTAAGATTTGTTCCTAATGGTGTACTTCATTTAACCTTAAAACATCATGAAAAACAATTTGGGCGTCATCTGTTTATTCCATAACCACGAGTATATTTACAAAAATAAAATCCAAGTCAGTGTCATTCCAAGTCTTCAATTCCGTGTTTTCATTTGGTCTCCAGTCTAATGGCTCACTAGTATTTACCTAAAAAATCACAGTGATCATAGGATACGATATTAGGTGAAGTTATCAAGTAATTATTTTTTTTAGTTTTTAATTTACAGTAAAAACTTACCAGATTTGTATCCACCATAGCCTCCGGAAAACCCGTCATTTAGATCATCAAAACCACTCAAACTGGAAGACAAAGTGGAGAAATCAGAAAATCCACCAAGTCCTGATCCTGGAAATCCACCTCCGGTACCTGATAATCCTCCACTTGGGAATCCAGAACTACCAGATGAGAAACTAGACCCACTCCTAGTAAGACTTAGAGACCTGCCACCAGATGGGAATCCACCGATTCCACTGCCCCCAATAGGAAATCCAGATCCTCCAAGAAGGAAGCCTCCGCCAGTTCCCCCTATAGGGAATCCACTTCCAAGACTACCACCTCCAATGGGGAAACCAGCACCACCGGTTGGAAATCCGCTACTTGGGAATCCGGAACTACCAGATGAGAAACTAGAACCACTTCTAGTTAAACTTAAAGAGCTACCACCAGATGGAAATCCACCTAAACCACTGCCACCAATAGGGAATCCAGATCCTCCCATAGGGAAGCCTCCACTTGTTCCCCCGATGGGGAATCCACTTCCGAGACTACCACCTCCAATGGGGAAACCAGCACCACCAGTTGGAAATCCTCCACTAGGAAATCCAGAACCACTAAGAGGGAATCCTCCTCCAAGACTTCCACTGCCAATTGGGAATCCTCCTAGACCTCCACTGCTTAAAGGGAAGCCAGCACCACCGCTCGGGAATCCTCCACTAGGCAATCCGGATCCTCCAAACGGGAGTCCTCCTCCAAGGCTGGAGCTTCCCAAAGGCAACCCTCCAAAGCCACCACCTAATGGAGAACCTGATCCCCCAAGCGGAAAACCACCAGTGAGACTACCTCCACCAATAGGGAACCCAGCACCACCACTTGGGAGTCCACCTGAAGGAAACCCAGAACCTCCAAGTGGGAATCCACCTCCAAGACTGCCGCCTCCTAAAGGAATACCTCCAATACCACTGCCTAGTGGGGAACCAGATCCTCCAAGCGGAAGACCTCCAAATCCAGGGCTTAATGGGAATCCACCAGTTGGACTGCCACCGATAGGGCTAATAGCACTTCCACCACCTAATGGAAGAGCTCCACTACCACCAAATCCTGGATATCCACCTCTGCTAAAGTTAAATCCATCAGGAATGATGTGCAGTCTGACCAAGTATTGGTAATACTGGAGATACTGGACAGAGGCTGGTCCGTATGTTACATACAGATAGTAGAGGTACTGGATGTAGACGATATACCTGTATCCACCAGAAGGATAGTTGCGGTAGATGGAGGACGGGCCAGTCGGAGTAGAAGGGTAACCTGTGATAGACGAAGATGTTGGTCATTTAATTGATATACATGTAGAAAAGTAAAATCAGTAGTTTTTCCAAAATAGAGAAAAGATAAAATTTTACCAGTGTTATATGTGGCAGCCACGTATGTGACTAACAGTAGTAAACACACCTCCTTAAGCATGGTTTCTGTAAATGTTAACAATTTTTTTTACAAAAAATTAAGAATATCAAATTTCTTTGATAATAATAAGAGAAATAAAATATCTTTATACCGTGCTTTTTACGAGATAATTACACTTCATTGAAGTGCATAAATGTTTTACAAAATCAAATTCGAAGAATTTAAAAATAAAATTTTACAGTTTAAAATCATTTGAAAAATACTTCTATTTTTATATCCATTATTCTGAACGCAAAAAAGAGTATTTTTGATAGATTTTTCTTCTCTTCATGTAAATAAAATACCTTTTAAGTGTTTCTAGCTTCTGGAGAGACACTGGACTGAAGATGAACTGTCTTGATGGGTCTTTTATATGTTTTCCTTTCGTTATAAAATTTTGGTGAGTGAAATTTTCAAGATGATCAGCACTAATCAAATTCCGATCAGGAAGTTAATAAAAACATTAAAATAATGCATGTTTAGCATCTGTAGTTTGTTGCATTGACAAAATAAACGGCTCGTTGTACTACCATTGTATTGTTCATCAAATGCTAGTACCGTGTTTGACTATACATAGTCTGTGTTCTAAAGTTTAGAACAGGTGCACGACATTGCAAGCCATTGTCGAGACGATGCGTCAAAAAAACTTTATTTTTGGAATGCTTCTACATGTTAAATTTCATAACTACGTGCTCATCAATGTTACTCTTACTAAATACATCTGTTTAACCTTTCAAATTGTAAAAAAGAAAGAAAGCAGCAGATTTCGAATCATTTTGTTTTCAGCAGAACCCTGGATCGAGTGTTCGCAGCAAAATAGGATTTAAAAAGACAACCAGTCGCTTCAGTGCTTTACAGATAAGTTGAAGTCAATCTTTCATATTCTTTTATGTGTGTCACTATTTTTTTAAATATTAATCCACAAAAATTTTAACTTAAGATGTACACAGCTTGAAAATTAAAAAAGGATAAAGGTCAAGATCTAGTAAATTACTTTAGACTATCTTTTGGTGCTAGACGTAATAATCAGTTCAAACTTTCTTGTTAACGTACTTTACGACTCTATTAGTATTATGTAGAAAATAAAACTATTTTATGGAATTTAATATGAAATCATGTGAAAAGTTATCCCGGTCCCTGTATTTTTAATATTTTTTTAAAGAAGAGGCTAAGAACATAAAAAATTCCGTTTTTTTTTTGTTTTGTTTTTTGTTTTGTTTGTTTGTTTTTTTTTTTTTTGAGTCACTCTAGGCAATCTGAATGTATTTTCTTTGTCTGATATGTTAGAAACTGCTATGTTCATGACTGTTTTTCTTAGTATTTTTATCATTAAAAATTACAGCTTAAAACATGATTGTTTGCTTTGTTAACCTACAAATTATACCCCGATACGCCTTCTATAACTTTAAGAACAGGAAAATCCAAATGAGGATTTTTAAGGTAAAGAATGATAATTTCAAATGTACAGAGCTCATAAGTACATTTTTTTTATTATAAAAAAGTAATGAATCCTCTTAATTCAGAACACCTTCATAAAAATACGTAAACATGAAAAAATTTTACCGAAACATGCAAATGGTTTGTTTGTTCATTTGTTTAACGTCCCATTAAGAAAATTTCACTCATGTTGAGATACTACCAGCACCTACATGTACTGCGACATAGGACTTCGGTTTATACGGTCTCATCCGAAGGACAGATCTCAGTGAATTCGAACCCGCGACGTAACTGCGCCGCGCAGGCGACTATATTAATGTTATGTTTACTGTAAAACAATAAAAAAAAAATGAGAAAAATGTGCTTGAAGAAAGAGGGAGTAAAAGGCGAGGACAATCACCCGTCAATTTTCAAACTTCAGGGAAAAGTTCTATTTTTTTAAAATAATGTTTTCAGTAATGTCATCTTCAACACATTTATTCAATTATTTTATTGAATGACTTATTGATTGATGATTTATTTTCAAAGTTGACAGTAAAGCATATTTAGTGGAAAATGGCCATATTAGAACCACAAAGAATTTTTTTTTAATATGAATGGGTCAAGTCTCCATTCTTCATTTACATTTAATTGACGGAAAAGTAAATGTAAAATCTATTTCATGTTTTAAAAAATGGAGTCTGGACCCATTCTATATGAAAATCGAAAAATTCTTTTAAAATTTATGATTCAAGAAGCTCGTTTATTTAAATCACACTGACAAACAACAAGACAAGTAGACCTTTTGGCGTAGTGGTTAACTCGTTCATATTACATGTATTTGTCAATAATTTATTCAACGAAATACAGGAGGCTTAAAGTGTAAACATTTCTGAAAAATAACTCTTCATGAATTTGACTTTTAGAATTGGAAAATGTCTTCTCTCAGAGCGGGGGATCGTCTTCGCCTTGCATGCCTTTACTCTTTATCTTTTCGGAAAGACAATAAAAGTTAAGTAGAAAGTTAATACTGATTTTTGTAATATGACATAGAATACTTAGTATTTATAAATTCCAGTTTTTGTACCTGCATTATATTTTATAGATGTGCAACAGAGATAAATGTTATTCTGACTCCAGTCCTTTAGTGTAAAAGGTGACGATAACGAACAGTGATCAATCTCATAAATCTAGGGGGGAAAAAAACAAATCGCTAACAGGGCAAAAAACACGGACCCCTGGAAACGCCAGTGCTGGAATCAGGTGCCTAGGAGGAGTAAGCATCCCCTGTCGACCGATCACACTTGTTGTTTCCCTTTCTATTGATCAGGAAAACGGAGTACTCCGTAGTCAAACTAGTGTAAAAGCAACGGTACATGAAACATAGACAAAAAAAACAGTAGGACAAGGTCATTATGAAGACGGCAGAATTCGCCAAAACTGCCAAAAAGAGTTGTTAAATTAATTGTATTCCTTGTATCATATACCTATTTTTCAATAGCCTGTCACTTTTTTAAAAATTGACTGTATCCAGAGCATCCGGTGATCTTGTTTATCGAATCAGTTGGTAGATATAAAAACAATATGTAGTAGATATTTGGCCATTATCGTTAATAGTCAATTTAATCATCCAAATATGAAATATGTGTGGCAGATTCTGTAGTGTATTTTATTTTAAGTTCACTGGAATATATCGAGTCGACTGTTAAAATGTCGTTATTATATCTGAAATGAAACGTCCAACAAAACAGTGACAAGATCTTTATCCTACAGTAATTAACCTTAATTAAAAATCAAGCATTTTGTTTTTAGAGAGTATTCATTTTAGTGATTACTTATACGTTTCATTTTCCTGATACATGTTAAAAAAAGTAAAATGTTTCTAATTGTACAAACACATTAAACTGATATAGCAATGAAACCTTAAAGAGATTAATAGAATAGTACGGATTCAAAAAATAGATAAAATAAAATGTTTTCTTTTATGTTTTTTTTTTCTTGTATTCGTTTGATTTACATTATTTTTCAACTTTTCATTAGTTATAAAGCTTAAGGACATACGCAACGTACCTTACCTACTGATACTTTTTCGAGATATTCTTAATTTAAGATTATAGTGCTATCAGATGTTCGTAGACAAAAAAATCAGCATGCATTACCAGGGGTTTTGAAAAGATATCAATTGATGAAAATTCTTCTATAATTCAAAGAAAAATATACAAAAATTACTAAACATATATTCTAGATGTTTTGTTTATCCAAACTTGTTTTAGAAGAAGTGTACAATAGCATATATAGACATTAAAATTTAGCACACAGTTCCTTTAAGTATTGGAACTCTTCAACTCCAAGGAAAAAGACAAACTATGTTGCGTATGTCCTTAAGTGGATTTTTTTAAGAACAGTGAACAAGGGAAATGAAAATCTGGAGAAATAGTTGGAAGGTGGGCGTGGACGGAGAAAGGGAAAAAAGGCGAGAGAAGATGGAGGGGAGGAGGAAAAAAGAAATGTCAGAGAAAATTTAAATGGAGAAATAGACTAGAGGTAAAAAGAAGGAGAAAGGAAAGAAAATGCCCACAAACGCTTATTTTTTCCCTTTAAAAAATGCAAATATCTTCATAAAACAATATCAACAGTGTACACTTTATCCAAACATTAAGCATTACTTTACAATATCAGCCAATATTCCTTATTACTTTAATAGTCATCTGGTTAGATAACAATCCAGTGCTAAGGCATGCATGGGTCCATAGCGCATTGGACAGGAAAGTCCCATTTGGCAGGTAAATCGAACTGTTCCACGACAAGGAATATCCAGAACTGCACGACAGATGTATCGCTGCCACTGACCCACAAATCAGAACCTGGTCCTGTCTGAAGACAAGCTGCTGCTGACACACGGCGCTGTGGTGCTGAACCGAATTCAACAGGCGGGCGATGGCGCTGTCAGTACACAGAAAATGTACATGTTTTTCGTCGTGTGCTGGAATGTCCATGGCATTGAACCCAACAGATTCTGTACAGTCACTCGCTATCAGTAAGTCCAAGGCTCGCTCTATCACGTCAGTATTGTTCAGGCACTGGTCTCTTGCTCGGTATCTCTCCTTTACAATCGAAATCTTCTCTCTAATCCTGGAGGACACAGAATCGTCTCCCGGTAATTCCAATTTGAACGCACTGGATCGCTTCCGTGCACTACCCGGAGTCCTTGGTGTTTTAGGAGTAGACGGTAAAGTATCCATAATTGAAATTGAAATAACGAGTAAAAGTTTTCACAACAGGTTTGTCAAACAGCTACAGTCCCTGAAACGTTCTACTTTCCCACTTGAACGGTGAGCGAACGCTGAACGAACGGTGAACGAACGCTGAACGAACGCAGAGCGAACGGTGAGTGAACGATGTGTGAACGCTGAACGCAACTTGGTGAACGATGTGTGAACGGTGAACGGTGAGCGAACGCAGAACGCGAACGGAGCGCAAACGCGAACGCAAAGTGAACGGTGAACGAACGGTGAACGCAAGATGAACGATATATTCGGAATGCCTCTGATCTTTTCCTTGCATTGAAACTATTTTATTGTATTATAATGTCAGGTTCCCAAAAAAAAAAA